GCAGACTTGTGGGAACAGGGCGCTGCAGTGACTTCAGCCATGTATCCCCCTGTCAAGCGGGATTGGTGAGGAGTGCCTAGCCTACGTGACACTGCTGGCTGAGACCCAGTAGGCTAGTACAACTCAGGTCCCAGCACCTGAAGGTGACCTGGAGGGGCGGGCCCCGCATAGGCTGCCTGGTCTGCAACTTCCTGGTGTGCTGCGGTGGGCGGGAACACCTAGCCGGCGCAATTCAATCAGACTGTGGCTGACAGAGAAGAAAGCGGGGCCTCCTATATACACTTGCATATATAAGGAACAAAGAATATGGGAAGAGGCAGCAACAAGAAAGGGACCTCGGCCCCCAATCCTGAGAAAGAGGCAATAGCAGACACAGCACCAATAGATATAAAGCACTATCTCCAGAGCCTCATAGACAAATTCAGGAATGAAGTTATTAATGACCTGAAGCTAGACATAAGCAGAATAGTTAGAGAAATGCTAAGCACCACCCAAGAAAAAACAGATCGTGGAATGGAAGAACAGAAAAAGAGGGGAGAATTGTTTGATGGAGAAAATCGAGAAACCATAGAATACGTGAAGCAGGTTCAAAGAGATTACCAGGAAACTAAACACTCTATCGAAAATTGGCATAACAGCTTGAAAGAAACTAAGGACAGATTATCTGAACTGGAGGGTAGATTTGTAATATGGGAGAATGAAATGAAAAACTTCTTAAAAATAACAAAGAAATAAACAGCAGTAATACAAAGACTAGAAGATGATAAGAGGATCCATAACTTAAGAATTAAGAACATAAAAGAAGAAGTAGGGACACAAACAAATGAACTACAAAAGCTACTCACAGAAATAATCCAGGAGAATTTTCCTAATTTAGCAAAAGGTAAAGATAACTCAGTTGTATGAAGCATACAGGACCCCAGCCACCTACAACCCAAACAGAGCCACACCCAGGCATATAATAATTAAAATTCCAGAAATCCAATACAAGAACAGAATATTAAAAGCCGTCAGAGACAAGAAACAGATCACTTACAAGGGAACACCCATCAGAATTATAGCAGATTTCTCGGCACAAACCATCAAATCACAAAGAGCGTGGGGGGAAATAATTCAAGCTTTGAAAGATAATAATCTCCAGCCAAGATTGATATATCCTGCACAACTATCCCTGGAAATTGATGGAAAAACGTGCTTCCAGGATAAAGAGGAACTAGGGGAATATGCAACCACCAATTCAATTCTACAGAGAATACTGCAGGATATTCTAAAAAAGAAAAATACGAAGAATCCAGAAATAGTGGCAGAGAGACCACAATGAATGGAGCAGAAAACAAAATGAAGAAGGCAAACTGACAACTAAGACAGAAAAAGAGCTCAACAGAAATGAGGCAGAGAAGATTGGATGATAGGAACAGCTATTTTAGAGAAAATGACGTCTTAATAGGTAATACTGATTTAGTATCATCTTGTTTTGAAGTCTCATCAAGCTTTTGTTCTGTCTCCATTGGTCTAAACAGGTTGTATCTTATTGGATTTTATTATGTATGATAGTATAAGCAAAACCTTTTATAGACAAGGAGATTATACAGAAACCATTGTTTATTTTCTGTTAGTTGATTCTAAATACCCTGTAATACTGTCATTGTCTTGAATGGTTCTACATTGTTTTGATATATTTGATGCTACAGTATACGAAGTTATACTCAAAGATTTCAAGGAAAGAGACAATATGGTAACTACTTTTATGTCGGGATAATACTATGTACAACTGTATTAAACCCAATGATGTGGACAAGACTATTGAAAATAACAAGAGGAAGCATAGTAACTATGGTAGATAACCTAATATTGTGGTCTTATGTGTCTTTTTCACTGTATATTTTTCTAGGAATTTGTTTTGCTGTCTTGTTATGATTTGTTTTCCCCTATAATACAGAGAGGATAGATATACATGTAGAAATTCACACATGAGAAGATTTTTTTAAAAAAACTATTTACGGGAACAAATTATATAATGCAATATGTAATGACCAGATACTCTGAAGAAGAGACACTAAGAAACCCAATGCTAATTTTATAGCATTATGATATAAAATCTAGCAATACTATTATTCACTGATCAGAGTGATATTAGTCTAGTCTCTTAAGTTCAATTTCAGCATGTGTCAAGATAAGGACAGCTACTACGAAGAGAATGGGAAATGCGATGGTTGTTATTATTGTCTTCCCCAATGTCAGATCTTGAAGACCTAAAAAGCCTTCATCATCCTGTAATGATTTGATTAGTTCTATAATATGCAGTATCTATTTAATGTATGTGAAGATGGGGACAACTAGTTGGAAGAAATTAGAGACAATTAGATAGACAGTGAAGATCTCCAGTGGACTTGCTTTGAAATCTGTATTTCTTTAAATTGTTTTTTTTAAACTGTTTTGTTCTGTTTTGATATGTTTAATCTTATCCTTTTTAAGATATAAAACAAGTGTGTAGGACTGATAACCATATTACTGAATTTTTGTTGGGTCATTGAGCAGAACTGTTGGCAATGTCATTATTTGAATGTCATTTTACATACTTTAATTTTATAACCTGAACAGCTATTTCTAAGATGACAATATGTAACTTATCAACTGGCGATTTCTTACCATTTATTTTTCTGTAATTCTGTATTATTTCTACCCTTTTTTATCTCCATGTATTTTTTTTGTTCTTTCTCTTTAATAAAAAAAGAGAAAATACAGTAACAATTGGAAAGTGTTTATGAGGAATAAATAAATGGCCAAGTGACACGCAAATAATTCACAGAGGAGAACGTGCAAATCACTAACATTTGAAGAATCATTCAGCCCCACAAAAAGCAGAGAGCTTCTCTCTCCTCCATATCCTCCTTCCCTGCCCACTCCTAGTCCACTTAAAAATTTAAGGGATATAATTTTGGTACTTAATATGTTGATCTTTATATGTCTGTAGAAAACTGCTCTAATTGTTCTGGTTCAGAATAACAAGTTGTGTTTAGCCACCACATTCTTTTCTCCTCTTCCTTTTTTTTTTTTTTTTTTTTTTAATGGGAGGCAGTACTGGAGATCAAATTCTCATACATACTACATCTCCAGTCCCTTGCTTTGGGGGTTTTTTGTTTGTGTATTTCTTTGGTACCAGGAATGAAACTCATGACCTCATGCGTGCCTCATGACAGCAGGTGCTGTGCTGCTGAGCTATATCCTTGGTCCCTGTTTATTTATAAACAAGGTCTTTGGGGCTGGGGATTTAGCTCAGCGGCATAAGTACCTGTCTTGCAAGCAGGCAGTCGTGAGTTCGATCCCCGGTACTGGTAAAAATGAAAAATGAAAAAAATAAAAAAATAAACAAGGTCTTGCTATGTAGTCCAGAATGACCTTGAACTCGAGGCAGTTCTGCCTCGGCCTCCTGAGTGCTGGGATTACAGGCATGTACTACCACACCTGACTTTTTTTAATGATAAAAACAAAACTTTCATGTTTTAAAACTTACTAATTGAATACAAAGTATAAAGGCGAAAATAAAGGTCCTCACATCCCACTTTGCAGATGTTGTCCTTCTCATTTCACTTTAAAATTTGCCTCCCACTCCTTGCTTTCTTTTACTCTATAAAATTTCCCTGAATTATTCCTACAACAATAGCAGTGTGTATCTTTTTTTCCCTCTTAAGACAGGGTCATGCTATGTGGTTCAGACTGCCCTTGAACTTTTGCTGACCCTCCTGCCTCAGCCTCCTGAGTGTTAAGAGTATAGGGATGTACTACCTCACCTGACAGAGGCAGCATCTATCTTTTTTTTTTTTTTGTCATTTTGAGACAGGATCGCTCTATGCAGTTCAGGCTGGCCTCGAGCTCACTTCGTAGCCCAGACTGGTCTCAAACTCGCAATGATCCTCCTGTCTCAGCCTCCTGAGTGCTGGGATTACAGGCATGAGCCACCATGCCTGGCTAGCATCTATCTTAACAGACCATGAAAGCAGGGAGCCCAGAGCAACAAGCCTGAACGTTAGGCCCTGTAACTTGATGACCAGGGTACATTCATGTACAGGACACACACATACGTGTATTCAAGAAGTCTGGCTCTAAAGGCTTCCTAGCAAAGTATGTCCATGGCTGATATGTAGTGATGATAGCTGCACACAGTGAACTGCAGTGGTTTAGCACCTATGTTAATCTTTGGCTGTCTTTTGATTAAGACTCACAAGAGCTCCTCACCACTTTTGTTCATGTGTGCACTGAAACAGGTGTCTGGGAGGACTGCGCTTAGGACAGGCGGGGGTGCAGACACCTCTTCCCACATGTTCATTACTTGAATTTTTTTTTAATTCCTCATGGAATAATTAGAAAAAAGGAGCTGCTGGAAATTCTCATTTATCTCGTTACTTTATTGCTAACACGTGCTTGGAATACAGTAGTCATTGACTGGATCCTGAATTATTGAATGAAATGAGGGCCAGAGAACAGATTACCATTTCCTAGCCCTCATGAGTTAGTGACATGACACATGGCCTCTGAGATGACAATGGAGATGGCTGGGTGTGGTGGTACACACCCATGCTCCCAACATTTGGGAGACTGAGGCAGGAGGATCACCTCAAGTTTGAGGCCAGCCTGAACTATGTAACATGACCCTGTCTGAAATACCAAAGAAACAACAGAAGTGCAGCTGCCGCTCACTTAACAAACCTGAACACTTTAGATGAACTGTGGGCTGTTCCAGTTGCTGTTTTTAATGTTTTCAGTTCTCGGGTCCACAAAGAAGGGGAGCCAGCAGGTGATTGGTGGTTTATGGGGCAGTAATTGTGTGTGCTATGCTTGGCAGCTGCTTGCCCCACTCATGGTTGTGAGGGTACAATTTGGTCTGCGGTCCTGGAGCTGGGGATGTGGCAGTGGGGTGAGAGATGGGTCTCTCTGAAGACTTGTTATGAACTGAACACTCTTTTTTTGTGTGTGTGTGTTGTCTTTTTTTTGTTTTCCAGCTGGAAGAAGAAAGATCTGTACTCAATAATCAGTTGTTAGAAATGAAAAAGAGGTAGGCTTCCTTTCTGTGTTTTTTTGTGTTTGTACACTTGTGTTTAATAAGGAAACGTTCAGAACATGATACATGTGGTAACTTGTAAAAAACAAAAGACCTTATGTTAGATTTCGTTGTCATAATTTGGTTTTCATAGTTGACAGATTATCAACATCCATTTGCAGAAGTTTCAAATAGTTGAAATTTTAAGCCATGCTGAATTTCATTAAATCCTAAATATAATTAGATTGCTTCATACTCCTAGTTTCAGTAACTAAAGATATTACATCTTAACATACAGTAATCACTGTGCCTGTAAATACTGATTTCTTGTTGGGGTTACTGTGGATTGAATTCACAACCTCAAGCAGGTGCTATGCTGCTGAGCTTTGTGCCCAGCCTAAATACTGGGGATTTCAGTGATACAAGAATTCTGATTTTTGCTGGGCTTGGTGTTACATGCCTATAATCTCAGCACTTGGGGAGCCTGAGGCAGGAGGACTGCAAGTTTGAGCCCAGCCATAGCAACTTATTGAGACCCGGTCTCCAAATACAAAGTTAAAAAAGGATTGAAGTGTAGTTCAATGTAGAGACTCCAGGCTCCATCCCTAGTAGCACACTAGTGATGATTTTTCAGTGATAATTAGTGCCATTATTTTGTGTTTTTATTTCTAAAAAAAAATAGCTCTAAAAAAAAAAGCTCTGTTTGCCAGTATGGTGGTGCGTACTTGTAATCCCAGTACTCAGGAGGCAGAGGCAGGAGGATGGTTGCAAGTTCAAGACCAACCTGGGCTATGAAGTGAGCTGAAGGCCAGCCTGAACTGCATAGCGGGACCCTGTCTCAAAAAGACAAAAAAAAAAAAAAAAAAAGCTCTGTTATTTATTATACTGCCATGATACTCAAAAGAAAACCTAGTATAATTTTCCCAATGCTTTTGTGCAAGGATGAACATGGCCCACAGAAATTATTCAGAAGCCTGATGCTTATACATTCTGATCTTTGTCTGCCCTTTTAAAACATTCACTTTTGGCTGGGGATCTAGCTCAGCGGTAAAGTATCAGCCTGCCTGTCAAGTGCAAGGTCCTAAGTTTAATCCCTGGTACCAAAAAAAAATATATATATATAATAGAACATATAGTTTTTGCTGTCTGTGGTGGTACACATCTGTTACCCCAGCACTCAGGAGGCAGAGGTAGGAATGTTGCCTTGAGTTTGAGGCCAGCCTGGGCTACATAGTGCGCTCAAAGCCAGCCTGAACTACTTAGTGAGACCTTGTCTCAAAAGCAAAATGGGGAACAACCTTACAGTTCAGTCTAGAGCAGCAGTGGCAGTGTACTGCAGTAGGCTGTCTGTATCATTGAAAACTAAAAGATTCACCCTCAGTGCTCTAAGGTAATTCTTTTCTTTGTCAAGCACGTGTAGGGTACACAGGAGCTGAGAACAGTAACTCACCAAGTGAATTGCTGCAGAACACTAAATAGATGGTGATTCCAGCTGTCATTCACATAGGAATGCTTTTTTGCTTATTTTTAAAAAAATAAATCAAGATGACCTCATCAGAATTTCTTATGTATATTACTCTCTTAGGGCAGAAGGGCTTTCCCCATTAAGATAACTTCCATGTGTGTCTCAGCCTTAAGAACTAAGACTTTGGTCCACAGAGATAGTTGGATGGCACCAACTACATTCCAGAGGGTATTCCATAGGGCTGGGAGGCAGCTAGCATGCACATGGCCCTGGTTTCATCCCTAGCATCCGGAAATAAAGGACATTAAGCTTTTGTCCAGGAGTGCCTTTCTTTCTTTTTTTTTTTTTTTTTTTTTTTTTTTTTTTTGTTGTTATCAGGGATCGAACTCACAACCTTGCACTTGCCAGGCAGGTACTTACGCCACTGAACTAAATCCCCAGGCCTCTTTCTGTTTTTAGTAAGAAATACTTAGATGCATTCTCACTAAGGTGGCGCTTGTACTGCCCCATGGCCAGGCTTCCTCTGAGGTAGTAAGGAGTGGTGGCTTCTCAGTCAAACTGCTGCCTCTGCCCATGCCCATGCCCATGCCTGTGCGCAGAGCTGCTCTGTCCCTTGCAGTCTCAGGGTTTTTAACTTCACAGAAATAAGCTTTTGTTTCTTAGAAGAGCCTTAGAATGCAGTTACAAAGGAAATGTGAAAAGTAACTGGAACTTGCTCTTGTAGTTTTCCGGCCTGGGAACATAAAAGTGGGCTGATACAGGACTCACAGACTATCCCTGGCTAATTCACAACTTCATCTAGGCCGGGCATGGCGGTGCACACCTGTAATTCCAGCACTTGAGGTTGAGGTAGGAGGATCACTGTGAGTTTGAGACCAACCTAGGTGGCCTACATAATCATCCTGTGTCACCGCCCCTACCTAAAAGTCATCTAGCTTCCAAACAACCCACTGAACGACAGCTTAGGACTGGCGTTTTTTTTTTGTTTGTTTTTTGTTTTTTTTTTTTGTCTTTTTCGTTTTTACTGGTACCAGGGATCGAACTCACGACTGCCTGCTTGCAAGGCAGGCACTTATGCCGCTGAGCTAAATCCCCAGCCCCTAGGACTGGCGTTTTAAAACAGTAGCAGTGAGGCTGCTCGGCTGGAGCCAGGGGCTGATGGTTGATTGATTCAGGTTTCACACCCAGGGCCTCAGGATTTGCAGGGGTTCTCTTCTCCTTGAATGGCTAACCTTTTTATGCATTTCTTATTTTGTTTTTTTTTTGTTTGTTTGTTTGTTTTTAAGGATACTATGCTTCATTAGTCCTTATCATGTGACTTTAACTAAATTACAGGCATTTTAAAATATGATGAGGCCTGTGACTTTTTTCATGGCTTAAAAAGATGGAATAATGGGGCTGGGGGTTTAGCTCAGCAGCATAAGCGCCTGCCTTGCAAGCGCGCATGCAGTCTTGAGTTGGATCCCTGGTACTAAAAAAAAAAAAAAAAAAAAAAAAAGATGGAATAAATTTGAGAATGGAAATTTAGTAAAATTCTTTCTTTTTACCTCACTATTTTTTCCAATTTTCTCTTATGGATATTTAGGAAGGGTATCTTGAAAACTGCTACTTTTGATAAGTAAATATATATAAAGATGACCATGTTTTCTGGGAGTGAAATACTTAAAAATCTACTTACATAGAACTTTTTGTTAACCCTCCTGGTGAGTTGTTTTTAATATGCAAATATAAATGCATTTTATCTAACAAGTTAGACTTTTAGATGTTTTCTAAACATCAGTTTGGTAAGGATTTCTATGTGGATCTATGTGTTATGTTCAAGTAAATTTATCAAACATAAGAGTCCTAATTTTTTAGTTTTAAAAGACTTGCAGGTACGCACATTATAAGGATATGCAGAGTGTAGTTCCCATAACCAAGAGCTTAGTCGGCAGTTTAATTTGAAATTGATCATTGGCCATAGAAGTTAAGTGGACATATGATTACTTCATTCAAATGGGCAAGCTGTTGGGCTGCAGACTTCTGACTAGGGTGAAACTGGTTATTGTTAAGAAGGTAGCAGTCTCCTTTGTATTTGCTGTGGGCTTCTTGTGTCTGTTACTTTGAGTTATATGTAGTAAAGGTTTTTCTCCAAGCTTAAAAATGTAGTCATGTGAAAAACTGGTCTCCAGGCAGAACAAACCTCTTTCAAAACTGCAGAGTGAGCCCTGCCTTACTCTGCCTGCCAGGACTCTGCAGTCCCGTTGTAGGTAGAGGAACTGCGGGGCTTTTTAATGCCAAAGAGGGGACAGCAAAGCCAAGGCTGCACATGGGCTTTCTGTAGGCAGACTTTATCCCGGCAGTGTAAATGCAAGATCTCTGTCAGAATGAGGAGTGATTTGGTGACACTGGCTGCCAATTTTGAAGCGGTGTGTGCTGCCTCGGCTCATTCAGCTCATGTGGGTTGTAACTGTCTGACTGTCTCTGAGCTTGCGCTACTTACCAATGCTCATTTCACCCCTCTCTTTTCCCTTTCCTACTCTTGCTTCCTTTGCTATATCTGTGTGTTTTTCATGGTAAGACTAAAGAAAGTCTATCCACGTTATAATAAATAAGTTTCATATATTTTTAGTAAACCAAATTGTTGTATATATTTTTGGCTGCCTTTGTCCCTCTGTGTCTTGCTTTTGTTTTGTAAAATATACCTAGCAGTGTATACATATATATACACATACACTCTTTCTTTTCAACACCTATACAGCAAAGAACTTTAGTGCAAATTTAGTTCTCCGTACTTTATTTGCATTTCTCCTCATGTTTCTAATATTTGGTTCTTGTTATCTTGCATTTTTAAAGCTTGCTCAGTAACACATTAAGGTATTTGTTTCATTACTGCAATTTATTTTTTAGTGAGTAGTAAGAACAGAATCTGAGTGGTGTGTCCCCTGGGGTGAGAGGTGTCCTATTATGTATTCTTCCTCTTTCAGCATCTTTAGAATTCCAAGCCATGCCAGCCAACGCGGCCTCAGCTTAACACAGTCCACAACTCAGCTATCAGTCTTGTTGGCATACATGATTAACTCAGCCACTCTTGATTTGCCCAGTGGAATTAGGGCTTAGAAGTGGCCTTAAAAGCCTTAGTGAAACTGTCACAGAGCCAAGCTTCAGGAATCACTTGTCCTGTCATTTACTTTCTTAGCCACATGTCCTTTGGTAACTTACACAGGAAGTGCTCTGCTGGCCATCTCCTCTGGAAACAGCCTGGCTAGGATGCTACATGTGTATGTGACAGGAAGCAAAGAGTCTGCTTGGTGGCATGGAGAAGTGTACCTTTCCCTTTTCCTGCTGCCAGCAGGTACTGTTTTTTCCTCCCCAAACCCAGAGTCTGTGGGATCGTGGCCAGCTAGAGCCCTGAGTGTGGGAAAATCTTCTATTCTCAGCAACCCCAATCATGGTTGTTATCAGCAAAAACTTTAAAATTACATTTTTCAAATTTGTCTTGGGTTTATAACAAGGAAGGCTCTGGAAATCATTTTTATAATAGAACAGACTTCTAGAAGTAGAAATTTGTGTAATATAAATGTAAAGAGCCTAATCTTTGTTACATAATTTATCGCACATCACATACAGTACGCATAGCAAACCGCCTGCCCGTTCCCTTCATTTATAGTTAAACCTAAGCAGACCCCGTTTTCTAGGGAGGTGTTAACACGTGATCAGCTGCACTGATATGCACTACTTGCCAGTGTATTTAATTCAAGAAACGTCTGTGAGTCTCAGATTCTTCTCTTACTACTTAGCATTCTGGAATATAAGTATGAGCCACACCACAAGATAAATACAACACTTCTCCTTTCATCTTTTGTATAGAATTTCAATTACCATAAACCACGAGGATTCTGTAATTCCTGTGCCGGATATCTTGGGTCTCACTAACCAGGCATACATTCTACCATTTCTAACCTGGGCCTCAGCCTCCTACTCCTCCAGTTGGGTCGAAAACAGACTGAATCATCACATGCTGTGTATTCACCCCGCTTCTTCCAGCAGAACTGGTTGCAATTCAGGTTGCATTTGCAGTGCTGACCGTTGGGTCCCTTGAGGGCAGGTCTAGGACACTTTTTCCAGCTTGGTTTCCCTAGTGTAGTTTGGTAATCCAAGGTCTTTTTCCTCTTGCATTTCATACTGCATGGAATTTAAAAGAAACTTTTACTTCAAACCAGTTGAAAAGTGCAAAGGAAGTGCAGCCAATTCCTGATGCCCTCACCCAGCTGCCCTTAATGTGAACATGGGCACAGTGTGGCACATGGGGCCGTGGGTACACTTGGCTGTGTTTGACTTCCCCCAGCCTTCTCATCCAGGATCCATCCGAGCTAGGAAGCTTGGAAGTGTGTAGGTGGCCTTAGTCTCACCCAGTCCATGGCAGCCAGAGTCTCAGTTTGTTCTTGACATCAGAGATTTAAAACACACATAAAAGTGCAGCCTGCCTTTGGGCCAGATCTGTCTTGTGCTCCCTGCCTACTTCCCTTCATCCATCCGCGCTCTCTGCCCTCTGCCTGCACTGGAGGGAGCTGCTCCCTCTCACTGAAGGCTGCCCGCCCTCTGCTGGGCCAGGTGGACAGGCAGGCTTAAACTTGGTCCTCAGAGCCCCCACCCTTCTGTCTTAATTTCTGCTTTACCCTTTATGCAGTTTAATTGCTATGAACAACTCCACATCCTCCTCAGATTCTGTGGTTGAAAAGTAGTAATCCTTCAGTTGGAGCAATAGTTTTGGCCCATATGATCCAAAAACGTGCTAAAAAGTTACTGAAATTAGTGAGAACCAACTGATATTTCCAGCATAAACTGCTCTGCATGACATCTGTATAATTGCTTTGCATGTATGTATTTTAATTGTCAATGCTTGGTAGTAATTTATTCCAGAAGTAACAAAATTCAACCTGGGGTTCTATTTTGATATAATTGGGCTGGGAGGGATGCAGTAGTTTTTTTTTTTTTTTTAATTGTATGTCTTCCAAATTTATTAACTTGTCTCTTTAAGTTCAAATGGATACAATGATATGCAGATTCTGGCATGTCTGCATAGGTAAACTTTTTCTCCCTTCACAGTAAGTAAAATTTCAAGTAAAATTTTGCAAGTGTAGTAGCCTTAATTGCATTTTAAAATTTCCTATTATACTTTTTTTTCTTTAAACAGTAACTAAAGTTATTTGTGAGTTTGTTCTAGAACAGCTGTGTGCTGACTGCTTGCCCAGTTAATTTCTGGAACTCTGTTCAAACTCTTTGGTCTTTTAGAGAATCCGAGTACATAAAAGAGGCTGATGAAGAGAAAGCTTCCTTGCAGAAATCCATCAGTGTCACTAGCGCCTTGCTCACGGAGAAGGATGCAGAGCTGGAGAAGCTGAGAAATGAGGTAGGTGCCCCACCCCAGAGATCGGCTGCCCTCTTTCTGCCCAGCCTACCAGCTAAGCTGACAACTGTGTTGCAGGTCACAGTGCTCAGGGGAGAAAACGCCTCTGCCAAGTCCTTGCATTCAGTTGTTCAGACTCTTGAGTCTGATAAGGTGAAGCTTGAGCTCAAGGTAAAGAACTTGGAGCTTCAACTCAAGGAAAACAGGAGGCAGCTCAGCAGCTCCTCAGGTAAACCAGTGCCACCTGCCCTCCGCCCTGCTTCCTCTTCCCCTCCCTCCCCACAGCTGTCCCAGTGTTCAGTCACCTGAGGACTTCACACCTCGGCCTGGGCCCCATCCCAGCTCCTGGCCCTATCATATAGGGCAACAGACAACCTCTGCAGTGCAGCAGCAGCTGCAGGGTCTAATTAAGTGTGTGGAGAATGGGCCGGTGGAGAATGGGCCGGGGCTGCTTCTCTGGAGGCCAGGGTTCAGGAGCAGAACTGTGGTTTTAGAGATGCACTGAGCTGTCCACGTGGAAATGGAAAATGGCCTCCATTCCCACAGCAAGGAAAAAGGGCTACGACTTGTAACCCACCCCATTTGTCTTTGTTTCTTTTTCTTTTTTTTTTTTTTTTCTCGTCTTTTTCCTTTTAATCGGTACCCGGAGATCGAACTCACAACTGCCTGATTGCAAGGCAGACGCTTATGCCACTGAGCTAAATCCGCAGCCCCTTGTCTTTGTTTCTTAAATATCAGGTAACACGGATACTCAAGCAGAAGAGGATGAGCGAGCCCAGGAGAGTCAGGTAATACTTTCTCTTACTGCTTTGCTGTCTTCCTGTTTTTCAAAATCATTCAATCATTTGAATAGGTAAAATATTCCTGTGCTACAAATATAAACAGTATTCCAAGCATATACAATGAAAGGTCTTCCTCCAAACTTTCATTTCCTAAACCCCCTGACAGGTAATTACTGATTCTAAGTATCTTCACCTTTGCAGAGATTTAACAAAAAGTACATAGATGGGCACCATGGGAGCATTGCTAGTCCTAGTCCCCCAAATGCTGCAGCAGGAGGATCACTTGAATCCAGGAGTTTGGCCAGCTTACACCTAAGCTGGGTGAGATTTTGTCTCAAAAGAAATACATGTATATACAAGCCAATATTAGTATAGTCATACCCCCCTGCTTTAAAAATATATTTCAGGGGGCTGGGGATTTAGCTCAGCGGCATAAGCACCTGTCTTGCAAGCAGGTGGTCGTGAGTTCGATCCCCGGTACCAATAAAAAAGAAAAAGACAAAAAAATATATATATATATATATATATATATATATATTTCAGTAATATACTACATGAACTATATTGCATCAATCTTTTCTGTAGCTGTGAGGTATTTTATTACATGGACATCATTTTCAGTCTATTCTCTTCTTTATTTTCTTTACAATATTGAGGATTGAGCCCAGGGCCTTCACACCATGTATTTTTAATTTTGAGACAGTCTTGCTAAGTTGCCCAGTATACTTGGGATGAAAGGCATGTGCTGCCACACCCAACTTGTTTGTTGACAGGGCGTTTTCTAATGTTTTTTACTGTTTAGCTGTGTTACAAACAACGCTGTAAAGCATTATTTTGATTAGTGTCATACAAATTTACCTGGACTAGCACTGTCTGCTTAGCGTGTGTTCCTTACAGGCCAGTACATGATTAACACTGTTTTCTCTTCCTCCTTTTGTTTCTGCTCCATCTGTTTCTGCTGCTGCTGACAACACTTTTCCTCTCATCAGCAAATGGTTTGTTTTATGTTTTCCAATTTGTGTGTATGCTTGCATGGATGCATGATGCGTGTGTGTTTCTGCTTTACTTACATGCATTTTATGGCTTTTTCTTCTTCCTGAAATGGAGCTTCTAACAGGGGAACGACTTAGAAAATGCAGTTTAAGAAGTAAAAATAGTTCCAGTACATCTGCCTTCAAAGGTGGACTCACTGAAGCTGAAAGACAATACTGCCATGGAAGCCTGTTGGTGGCTACCTTTTCCTCATAACTTACATTGGCAGGAAAAAGGACCAAATAGTTTTTAAGTGAGGAGAGAGAGAGAGCAAGCGAGAGAGAGCGTGCAGGCAGGCGAGCCCATTTAATGTTGCAAACTGGTATATTTCAATTTAGAAAAATGAGACCTTTTCACTGTTTGTACGAGTGGACTTTTTTTTTTTTTTTGGTACCAAGAAATGAACTGTGCTTACCAGGCAGACACTGTGCCACTGAGCTACATCCCCAGCCCAGGAAGCATCTTTTTGTCTATGAAGTACTGTTCAAGAAGAGTGTCCTCTACCTCGCATCCTGGCTGCAGGTGCCCCTCCTGTGTGTGACCTGAACACTTGGTGTCAGCACCTGCAGGTGTTGTCCCCCAGCCCATGTCCCAGGAGAGGCAGACTTCCTGTTCCACCAGACCACTCAGACACTGAAGTGTGGTCTTAGAGGATTTCAGGATGTAAAAGTCCTGAACTGATTCCAGAATTTAATGAAAGAGCTTTTTACCCATTTTATAAAATGGGTAAAATGTATATGTTGTTGGGTAGTAGAAGGAAAAAGTAGAATTTCTGCCATGCATCCACAAAAATCTGAGAGTATTATTTCTGAACAGTGAAAAGTGACTTTTCTGTTGAAATGTTTCTTATACTTTGCATAAATCAGTAGCACCATAAAATCTCAGATTTAACCTATTAAATATAATTTCCTTTGCCTCAATGACAAATGCAGTTTACCCATTTATAACTGGAAACATTCAGTGAAATTTGTTTAAAGTGCTTTTTCAAGCTGGGCATAAGTGGCATATACCTGTAATTCCAGTACTTAGAGGCTGAGACAGGAGGATCCCTGTGAGTTCAAGAATAGCCTGGGTTTACATAATGAGTTCAAGGCCAGCCAGAACTACCTAGCAAGACAATCTTATTAAAAAATAACAAAAGAAAGTGTTTTTCAACATAAAGTAGTCACCTAGCAAGGAACAGTTGAAGACTATTGAGAGAGTGAAAGGGGGAAAAGAAACCTTCTTAACCCCATCACCCAGATTACCCAGCTTTGCCGGATTCAGCTATTGGTCAGAGAATAGCAGCAATCCTGCTCCAGCTGGAGATTGGAAGTCAGGGCCAGCAGAGGCTCGGGCAGCCTAGAGGGAGGGCGCACTTCTGATTTCCTGACAGCCAGTAAGCACCTCACTGGTTCTTCCTCTTTCTTTCTGTTTTTCAACAAATCAGATTGATTTCCTAAATTCAGTAATAGTGGACCTTCAGAGAAAGAATCAGGACCTCAAGATGAAGGTGGAGATGATGTCAGAAGCAGCCCTCAACGGCAACGGGGATGACCTAAACAGTTACGACAGGTGTGTCCTCTCCTGGCCCGCGCACTGCACCTGCGCTGCCTTGCGCAGAGGCGCTTGCTTGCTTTTTTTTTTAAAAGGAGATGGGGTGGTATAGACGTGTTTATTTTTTTGTGGGTACCAGGAATCACACTCAGGACTTCACACTTGCCAGCCAGGTACTATGCCACTGAGCTTTACGTCTAGCCCCAAGAGGAGCTTTCAAGTTAGTCGCCCTCCAGTAAATTATCACGAGAATAATGAGAAAGGATTGTTTTGTGGTAACTTTGCCATAAATAAATTTCCATAAGTCCACAACTGGTGCATTCTGAAAATTTTAAATACCAAGGTGCTACTTATCCTGCAGCCACATGGACTTGGTCAGAATTAGTTCTTATTTTTCAGATTCATTGTAAGTACAGTCATCCCTTGAATTCCTTTTGATAAAGTTGTGATTTTACACATTGACATTTATAGTGATGACCAGGAGAAGAAGTCCAAGAAGAAACCTCGACTCTTCTGTGACATCTGTGACTGCTTTGACCTCCACGACACAGAGGACTGTCCCACGCAGACACAGATCTCTGAGGACCCGCCCCATTCCACACACCACGGCAGCCGCAGCGAGGAGCGGCCTTACTGTGAAATCTGTGAGATGTTTGGGCACTGGGCCACCAACTGCAATGACGACGAGACCTTCTGACGCAGCCTAGGGGCGGGCCTATGGGGGCACCTGCACTTAGCAGTCTTGACACCAGCATCACGAGTGGCTTCAGGAGAACTCATGTTATTTTTTACTCCATCAGCAAATCTAAGAAAATATTTTGGTTTTCAACAAATTGCCCTTTAGTCTCCCCTTCTAAGTTAGAATAAATAAATATTTAGTAGGTGAGCTTTTACCTCTAATTATGTTTTAATTGATTTTTAAGTTTAAGACATTGTACCAGATGTCAGTACATTTATTGTCCTTAGGGAAACTTCATAGTACAAGCCCTATCCTGTGATACCTTATTTAAGAAATTTTAAATTATGCTGTTACTTTTCATATTTGCACTAAAATGTTTCCAGGCTGAATTTGAATATTTAGATTTTTTCTGGTTAAGCTTTGACACTGGAATGAGTTGCAAAAAAGTACCATTTTGCATTTTCATTTACTAAGAGTATTTTATTCTTAAAGGAGTGTTGAGCTCTTTGCACTACGAGTTACAGTAGTGCCTTTTTTCAGGCTTGACAGTACTCCAGTGTGATTATGAATCGTGAACCAGGCATAGGGAGGAGAAGCCCCCACATCACTTTGGGGACATTTTACAGACTATATGCTATGCCCACCTACTCGACTGTGGTGTTTTCTTTATTGGTTTTACATAATTTCAACTTCTATATTTATATGTATATATATTTTAAAAAATCTCTATTTTGGGGAAAAAACACAATTTGTTTTTCTTTTCAGATTTTTATATGAAAAAGAAAACACTCACAGTGATGGCCAGGGCAGAGTAGACCAGGCCAGGAACAACATCATGTGGCTTTGCAACTTCAGGATTTTTCATTTCCATTTAGCCTTTTTTTTTTTTTTTTTTTTAAGCAGATCTAAATAACTGGAAAGATTTTTTTCCCATTTTTTTTTCATTCTGTAGCAGATACCCCCAGCAATGAATTAAGCCCCTATAAGACGCCTAAATTAACCAACCTACAATCTTCCTTTACAGTTTGTTTTTACTGGGGCTGGGGATTTAGCTCAGCGGCATAAGCACCTGCCTTGCAAGAGCGTTGTCGTGAGTTTGATCCCTGGTACTGGTAAAAAAAAAACAATTTGTTTTTACCGTTTTTAGATGAATGTATGATGAGAAAATCAGTATTAATAATTATAGATTTTCTTATCACAAAAAAATGAAATGAAGAACCTCAAGCATCAGAACAGTTTTATCAACAGAATATATTTATCTTCATTTGAATGTCTTCTAGAATATGTAAAAAGTAATAAAATATTATCTTCCATCCACATGTATAATAAGAATTTCTATAATTGTATATATGCCTCTGTGTATTCCCCCCAAGATTTTCAGCTGTGTGTTTGACAAGTGAATAAATAAATCTGTTATCAACTGAAATTTTTGGTTGATAAAGTAAGAATTGTTTCACAGGCAGAAAACCTGTAAAGCAGTATTAAAATCTGAGTAAAGTATTCTGTATCTACTTTAATAAATGGTTACTATTATTATTTTTGCCAATAGTAGTAAACTCATTATTCTCAGTTTGTTACAATTTTTTTGTGTGTCTTTTTGAGGCAGGGTTTCACCGTGCACTTCTGACTGGCCTCAAACTCACTGTGTAGCTCCCAAATTGACCTTGAACTCCAGTAACCTCCTGCCTCAGCCTCCCAGGTGCTGGGATTAACAGGCATGCATTACCACACCCAATCCACAGTGGCTGTTCTTTAAATGAGTAAATCCTGGAGATCCAAATACCAGTTCCTTTCCTTTCTCCTCTTGGCGTTGGGACTGAACCTAGCACCTTGTGTCCTAAGCATACCACTAAGCAGCTCCCCAGCAGCACTTACTGCTGTAAACAGCTTGAAGAGACTGCTCTGTCCTGAGTGGCGGCTCAGGAGGATGGAGGCTTCCTGAGCTCCCTGCTGACTGAGTCGCTGGGAATTTTATAAAAACGGGAAAAACAGGTGCAGAAGGCTGCTCTGCACTGGGTGGTATAATGGAGCATAAGAACCAGGGTGAAGATTCAGATATCCAAGTACGAGATGACTGCTGTCTGACCCCACAAAGGCTAAGAGTGCTAGAGGAAAGCGTTCTGGGTCTTCAGTGACTTCACAATGGGTCTACTGTGACTTCACAAAAGAGCTGCCCCACCCACTGAGGCTGTTCAAGACATGGGAAACTCTGCGGGGGTGGTGGTGGTGGTGGTGGTGGTGGTAAAACTGTCAAGAGTATTCCCTAAAGCACTGTTGCTCCCTCCATCATCTACAGTCCTCATCTTGCTTAGGGGCAGTTTACTATGCTATGACTTTGCTATGTTACACTCATACATGCTTGAGGTTTCACCAGCTGTGGGCATCTTACCTCTGAGACCTTCACTCAACAGCTCTGGCTTGGCTTGTGAGTGCTACATTTATTCTCACAGGTGTTAAGGTGATACAAGAGTACACATGAGAAGAGTTTGGGCCAGTCAAGAGAGCCACTGTGAATCTGAGTTGAGAAGCGTGCATAGAAGGGTTTACATTTGTGTTGCCAACAAGTTACTCCAAAATCAAAATGTTTGTACGGGTATGGTGGTGCCACCCATAATTCATCACATGAGATGCTGAGGTAGGAGGATCATCCAGAGTTTGAGACCAGCCTGGGCTACATAGTGAATTCAAGCCCAGCCTGAGCTATATTGTGAGACCCTGTCTCAAAACAAATATCTAAAACTTAATTGTCTGTGCTCGATTAAATCAAGAATTTGAGAACGTAAATCTCGAAGGAATGCTTGCTTTTCTGCATCATTCCGAAATCACCCTTGCTTAATTAGAGACTACAGTAATTGCTTAGAGTTTCGGGGATCGAACTTACAACTTTGCGTTTGCCAAGCAGACTCTTACACCGCTGAGCTAAACCCTGGCCCCTGCTTAGAGTCTTAAAATATTAAGATACCTTGAGAGGGACATACATTACAATAGCAAGTCTCAGCAGATACCAAATGACCCATTTCCCATTAAAGTATCCAAACGCTTATATTCTAATGATTTGATTTGATTTGATTTTTGAAACAGGGTCTCCCTATGCAGTTCAGACTGGCCTTGCGCTCACTTTGTATCCCAGGCCAGCCTAAAATTGGCAACGATCTTTTGCCTCAGCCTCTGGAGTGCTGCGATGACAGATATGCACCACATCTGGCTCCTAATGATTAATCCAGTTCCAGGGAGCCTGCTCAGACTTTCACATGAATTGGTCCTCTTGATACTCGTAACTCATGGGTCTCAAGCTAATTTTACTGCTAAGCAAGTGGTGGACCTAGATTCCAGGTCTGATAGTATTTGCATGAAATAAGTAAGTCTGTAAAAGTTTGCTAGGAAAAGGTAAAAACCGAAAATCCACAAGTTTCCTTCAGCCCCTAAGTATACATTAGGAATTCACAAAACCAAAGAAGCCTTCATTAGTGCCAAGCGAAGAACATGGTTTTCATAATTTAAAAGATTTGCAATCAAGTTGAGCCTCGGATTTTTACGTCAACCACTCTTAGTGATGATAACAAAGAAGAGGCGCTCTTTTAAACGGGACCAGAGATCCAGTCTCCGTCCTTAAAACTGTTTCAGCCCCGGCCACTCCGCGCATAAAACAATAGGCCACTAGACCAGAAAAAGCGGCGGACACTAGGACCGCACTAGATCCCCGCGTAGTGTGCGTCGGCGGCCCGGGTCACGTGGACGCGCCGTCAGGTGACCGCGCCCGGGCCTCACCCAGGGAACGGGCCGCGGAGCAAGATGGCGGCACACTTGTCCTACGGGCGAGTGAACCTCAATGTACTGCGCGAAGCTGTGCGTCGCGAGCTGCGCGAATTCTTGGACAAGTGCGCGGGGAGCAAGGTGAGGGGCACGGGACGGCGACCCCACTCCCGCCTCGCCTGGTCCGGCTTGGCCTAATCCGGTTGCTGGAGCTCCTGAGCTTGCTGTGTATGAGGTCTGCAGGGCTTGTAGGAAGCGAGCCTGGGGACCCTTCTACTGCAGCTACTGCGGGCGACGGCGACGAGGCAGGAGGCCTAGAGGCGGCGTGCCCCCGCGTCTGTTCTGAGACAGTAGAATAGGCTTCTGCTGTGTCTCAGTTTCTGGCGAACCACTTTGTGCCGGGTCTTCCCCAGGTCTGGAGAAGCAGCTCAATGTCTTTGCTGTGGGACCGGAGGGGCGCGCCCGGCCCAGGGATGTAGATGGCCCGGTGTCCATTTGTTGCCATGACCGTACGCGCTAGTACAAACCCAGCTTCACAAGTCTCTGAAGCACCGACGTCTTAGAGCGTGCACACAGAAAAGATGAGAAGATGTAGTTGTTGGGGGTTTTAACTCGGCCTTCCTAAAATAGGATGAATTACCCTGTTAGAGCACCGAGCTCACAGGAGAGGCAGATAACTGGATCAGGGACTGAAAAGCTTTTTTTTTTTTTTTTTGTCTTTTTGAGACAGGGTCTCGCTGTGCAGTGGCCGTGAGCTCACTTTGTAGCCCAAAGGCTGGTCTCGAAATCGCAGGGATCTCCTGCCTCAGCCTCCCAAGTGCTGGGATTACAGGTGTGAGCCACCACTTCCGGCTAGTGACTGAAAAGCCCCTTAAAGAGTGGCCGCCTCTCTGTTGTTTTGGAATGATCTATCATTCCGCTGGCAGCATTTCTCATAAAGGAAGATTGAGGAACTTCAAGAACCAGACTTAGTTAGACTCAAGAAATACAGTGGTTGCTTGCAGCCATTGAGAGCACGGAGAAGCATATAGAAGCCCCGTTTAATTCAGCAAATGATTCTGAAATCTGAGATCATAGATTGAATCATTGTCGAGACCTGTATGTAATATTGTGCTGTAGCTTTGCAACATGTTACTACTGGGGGAAACTGGGCTGAAGGCACAGATCTGTATTGTTTCTTGCAACTGAAGGTTAATCTACAGGTATTTAATATTTTCAATTAAAGAAAAAATGTAACCAGTTTAGTAGTAGAAATACTTAGAGGGCCTACAGCAGAAAGTCCTAGTTTAAAGTCTTGACTCACTTGCACTGTAAAATCCAAGCATGACCTTTGTCTCACTATGTAGTTCAGGTTGGCCTTGAACTCACTGTATATCCCAGAATGGCTTGAACTCAAAGCAACCCTCCTGCCTCAGCTTTCTGAGTGCTAAGATTATAGATGTGTGCCACCATGCCCAATGCCAGTTACACTTTTTAAAACTTGAGTTTGAAGGAAATATGCCTGCTGTGAATGACCACTGCTTCCTGTTGCTATTGAAATTCCTAAGTCTGTAGTAAGAGACTGTTTCTCTCCTCTTACAGGCAATAGTTTGGGATGAGTACCTCACGGGACCCTTTGGCCTGATTGCCCAGTATTCACTACTGAAGGTAAATAAGCTCTGTGGGTGTTGTTCCAGAATTAATCATTCTGAACTTGAGCAGTGGTAGAATTTTACATTTCCTTGCAAAACTATGTGATCATTACAAACACTGATACTAACAGGCAATTAATGTTTTCTGTGCAGTGGTCCTTGCAGATCTTGGCATTAAACTATGTGACGATTACCTGTGTCTTCACTAGTTCATGTTGGAGTCATTTGAATGCCAATGCAATAGCTGTGACTTTATCAGAAAGCATGTGTGTGTCTTGGATTTTAATAATAAGCTATGACCATGTGTTTGATTGGGAGCATGAATGATTTTTGATCCTGAAAGTGATAAGTAAAATTCCAGTTTTGGTTAATCATCTGTGCATGTTTTCTCCTAGGAACATGAAGTGGAAAAAATGTTCACACTTAAAGGAAGTCGTTTGCCGGCAGCTGATGTCAAGAATATTATTTTTTTTGTCAGACCCAGGCTAGAACTGATGGATATAATTGCTGAAAATGTGCTCAGGTACCTCAGCGCTTGTGTTGGGTAAAAAAGGCTGAGCGTTATAATAGTTTTAGCACCCTGAGCCCCTCCTCACAGGCTCCCACTCCTGCCGGAGTGGGAGTGCTGCAGTGGAGTGGTCTTTGGGAAAACTGGGCAGAGATAGAACAGTGCAAAAGGGAGATGGGAGCTCTCAGCACTGGGGAGGCAGAGGCAGGAACATTGCTGCAAGTGCAAGGCCAGCCTGGGCTACACAGTGATATCTTGTCTTGAAATAGGCTAACAGTTTTTAAAAGGGGATGGTGGGTGGGAAACTTGTGAAGTTGTTCTAAACAGTATGGGCCTTATACATAACCTCATTCTTTTGAAATAGCTAAAAGTTTAAACCTGTGTCAGAACAAAGGGCTATTTTTTTTTTAAATCTTCTAATGCTTGTTTTTCAATTACTGACTGTAACAGGCCTGAATCTCATAAGCAAAACAAGTAAGTCAATGAAAATTTAATGTAGCATTCACTCTGTAGAGGAAGTTCTCTCTGCCTAGTCTGCACTCCGGTACAATTGATTGATGCAGCTTCTTAAATCTTAAAAGCCTCTGAGCTATTTCTGGAGTCCGCTGAGAACAAGGGAAGAGGGTGGGAGTCAGGAGTGGCCTCACAGTTTAATAGGAGACTGTCAGTTGCATTGGTCGGGTTAAAGAGCCATTTGTTTTCCGTAAGACACTGGGATCCTGTTTTAATCAACCCAAGGGCTTAATGCCCTCTAATGGCTTGAGAGAATGCCAGAAGGTAAGCCACAAAGTACTGGCTGTGACTCAGGGCCGCCTTCCTGTTGGGGATAGAAGAAAGAAAGCATGGAGCTGTGACCCTCTGAGCCTGAGAGACAGTGTTCTTGTTTACTTGACCAGGGTTCTGGGGCTGATGTGCAGCAGGAACCAGGCATAAAACATGACAGATAGTGTCTGACCCCTTCTGAGCATTTAATCTAACCTCCTTCTTTCTTTTGCAGTGAAGATAGACGTGGCCCAGCAAGAGATTTCCACATTTTGTTTGTGCCGCGCCGTAGCTTGCTATGTGAACAGCGGTTGAAGGACCTGGGTGTTTTGGGATCCTTTATCCACAGGGAAGAGTACAGTTTAGATCTCATCCCATTCGATGGGGATCTCTTGTCCATGGAGTCAGAGGCTGCATTCAAAGTAAGTTTGGCATTTTCCTGACAGACTCTTTCGCCGAATATGTGAGTAGGGAAGTGTCTCTGTATTTCGTTTTCATGATCCTGTGAAGCTGAGGCTCATTACCTATGTTTTTTGATGTTTGAGATGTTCTCTTTTAGCTGGGTGTGGTGGCTCACACCTGCAGGCCTAGCACTCAGGAGGCTGAGGCAGGAGGATTGCCATGAGTTCGAGAGCAGCCTGGGCTACACAGTAAGTTCAAGGCCTGGCTGAACTACATAGCAAGATCTTGTCTCAAAAAAAAGAAATGTTCCAATGTTTTTTCCCTTTAGTTTTCATTTTAGCGCTGATCAGGAGTTTTAAGTAATTTTTTCAGGAAAGGTGTCTCAGCATCCTCCGTTAAAGTGCATGATGTACAGTGCTTTGGTGACACTCATCATGACATTCCTTTCCTGCCATTTCCCTCCCTCCCTCCCTCGGTCCCTAGGCCCCCCTTCCTGTTCCTGGCCCTGCCCGCTGTGGACACTGGGGCGGTGCTTTTGAACCCAGGCAGCCTTGACCTCGCTGTGTCTGCCAGGTTGGCTTTTTGAACTTGACTCTGAGGTCCCAGCATCAGGCGCCATTGTGGCTTAGAAGTGCTTGATGATGATTTAAAAGAATCCCAGCAAGTGGTGTCCAAGCGTGGGCGGTGTTTCAGTGCTGGGGTTAATGCGGAGGTCCTTTTCTCATTTTGCCCCTGCCCTGTGGAACATGCCTTGTTCTGTGGATGCATAGACTGCAGCCCCAAGAGGTCACCTCCCCAGCCTGGGCCACAGCCAGGTGACACAGCTAGAAGTCAGATCAAGGTGGCCTGGGGGCCTAGACCCAGTGAGCTGAGCACCTCTGCTGTGTCCCTGCTGGCTTTGTGCATTTTGGGGGAAGTGCATGAAGTCTTTTTTTTAACACTTTACAGAACATATTGTTTGTTTCCGAGTCAGGATTTTACTGTATGGTCCAGGCCAGCCTTGACCTCACCATAGAGGCCTGGTCGGCTTTTAACTCAATGCAGTCCTCCTGCCTCAGCCTCCTGAGTGCTGGAATTACAGGCGTGCACCACCATGCCTGGTTGTATCATTTTTTACTTGTGGTGCATTGAGCCCATACCTGCAGCATACTTTACATCGTATTTGTCTTTCTTTTTTTTGACACTACTGGTGATAGACTCCAGGATACTTTACTACTGACTATATCCCCACCCCTTTTTATTTTTTATTTTGAAGCAAGATCTTGCTAAGTTGCCCAGGCTCACCAGACTTTCTGATCCTCCTGCCTCAGCCTCCTGAGTAAGATGCAGCCTTTATCCATCAGGCTTTCAAGGCGAGCTGATGCGGCTGCACACTTCTCTGCACCCGTGCCGGGGAGCACGGTTCCATGGCTGGCCCTGCGGGAAACTGTAGTCTGAGTGTCCCGAGAAAGCAGGAATTGTTTTTTTTTTTTTGTTTTTGGGGTTTTTTTTTTTTTTTTTGTTGTTGTTGTTGTTGTTTTGAGACAAGATTTCACTATGCAATTCAGCCTGGCCTTGAACTCCCTTTGTGCCCCAGGCTGGCCTCGAATTTGCAGTGATCCTCCTGCTTCAGCCTCCTGAGTGCTGGGATCACAGGTGTATGCCACCATGCCCAGCTGGGAAATGGTTTTATTGTCCATAAATACAGCAGGCATCTGGCAGTGCCCATGAAGGGACTCTGGATCCCAGTGACTGACCTTTTTCCCCACAGGAGTGCTACCTGGAGGGTGATCAGACGAGCCTGTACCACGCGGCCAAGGGGCTGATGACCCTGCAAGCCCTATATGGAACGATCCCCCAGATCTTTGGGAAAGGGGAATGCGCCCGGGTGAGAACCAGGAGCATCTGGGGTGGGGAAGGGAGGCTCCTGGCCCCCATGCTGGGGCCTGAAAGATGCAGCCGGGCCTTGGCATGTGGGAATGGTGTGTGGGACTTTGTGTCTTCGCTCCGTGCAGATGTCACCCCAGGTGGGTTTCCCAGTGCTCTGTGGGTGCAGAGTGGTGAGGAATTTGTCCCAGGTGAAGGTCTGCTCAGCAAGGCGACTTTGCTGCTGTGGTTCAGCTCTTGGGCCCAAGCCAAGTGTCCTTTGGTCTTCCGCCCGGCTCTCTGGGGTCTGATTGAGAAGATGCCGTGTGTGCTCAGTGTGACTGGCTCAACACACCCACTAGGGCAGGCACGTCTGTCAACATGGAAAGCAAAGCTGTGCTTTGACAGTGATGAGAGTCGTGGTGGGGCTCGGGTTCCTCAGCGTGTGTCTCCTGTGAGCAGCGCTTCAGCGCTGGCTAATTCGGTGTCAGGAGTGACTGTGTAGAACACAGCTTCCCTGAGTGACATGCGCAGACTGTCCGCTGCTGTGCCCCCTGGGTGTGGCTGCTGTCAGTGCCAAAGTGTGCTGGCATGGGTGGCCAGCAAGTACTGTCTGTCTGTCTGTGTGTGTTGCTGGGAGTCAAGCCCAGAGCCTGGAGCATGCTAGGTAAGTGCGCTCCAGATGAGCTAAATCTCCAGCCCAGTACATGCTCTTTGATTGCTATATATTTCTGTCCTATTCTTTTTTTTTTTTTTTTTTTTTGTCTTTTTCATTTTTATCGGTACCAGGGATCGAACTCACGACCGCCTGCTTGCAAGGCAGGAGCTTATGCCGCTGAGCTAAATCCCCAGCCCCTTCTGTTCTATTCTTTTCTTTCTTTCTTTCTTTTTTCTTGGTAGTGGGAATTGAACTCAGGACCTTGTGCTTGCAAGACAGGTGATTATGCCACTGAGCTGTATCTCTGGCCCTGATTGCTATTTATTTTTTAAGCTTCTGAAAGTTAAGCTTAAATAATGTGAAGTTCTTAAGTTTCTTATTTATTTAAGTTTCTTGAAACTTTTACAGTTTTCCTCTTTATTTTTTTAAGGTTTTAATTCTTTTGATTGTCCTGTTTTTAGCTGAATTAAAAAATCCAGTGCCCAGGAGGCCCCACCTGATCCCATATTTTGTTTCCAGCAAGTGGCCAACATGATGATCAGGATGAAGAGAGAGTTCACAGGAAGCCAGAATTCAGTATTTCCTGTTTTTGATAACCTCTTGCTGCTTGATCGAAATGTGGATTTACTGACACCTCTGGCTACGCAGCTCACCTATGAAGGGCTCATTGACGAAATTTATGGCATTCAGAACAGTAAGTGAAGTGACATCTGTTTTTAGTGGTAGTTCATTCGACAGAAATGTCCTTTATGTGGAGGATACCATTTTTGTGTTGTATATTTCAGGTTTGTTTGAATCTAAAGACACTTTTAGTAATGGTTTTAAAATGTAGATTAAACTCTTTAGAAGCAGTTTAGCCATATGTAAAACTTTAACTCTTGGTTCCAAGAAAATCCAGTCTGAGGATGTCCCTTGAGGAATTGTTCCAAAAATAGAGATCAGGCAGGTTTGTAAAAAAATCTGTCATTTATTTTCCTGAATTTTCTAAATAATCTGAATTTTGAGATCATTATGAAACATCAAGGAACCATTAAATCAATAAAGGTGAAAAATGGAAAAGTGTACAACCAAACTTCAGTTGTATATTTTGTATGCGTGTATGTCTATAATATGTAAAATTTCCCTACTCAAAGGAAAATAACTGGATGAGGAATGATGAGACAGTGATTCCAAAGGGTCATTTTATTTTTATTTATTTGTTTGTTTTTTGTCTTTTTTGAGACAGGGTCTCACTATGCAGTTTAGATTGGTCTTGAGCTCACTTTGTAGCCCAGGCTAGTCTCGAACTCAAAACAATCCTCCTGCCTCAGCCTCCTGAGTGCTGGGATTACAGGCATGAGCTACTACGCCCGGCTCATCATTTTATTTTTTAAAAAATATTTTAAAAATTTATTTATTTAGCAGTTGTGAGCATCTCAGATTCAGAGTAACTCTATCAGTGAGCTACCTCCCAGCCATTTGTAGAAATTTTATTTTAAGATAGGCTCCTGCTAAGTTGCTCAGGCTGGACCGTTTCCTGCCTCACTCTTCCTGATTGGCTGGGATCACAGGCAGATGGCATTGAGCCCAGTTAAAAAGTCATTTTGTTTGGTGTTTTGAGACAGGGTCTGACTATGCAGGTCAGGCTGGCCTTGAATTCATTGTGTAGCCCAGGCTGGCCTCAAACTTATGTTGATCCTCCTGCCTCAGCCTCCCAAGTGCTGGGATTACAAGCATGTGACACTAGGCCCAACCGTCTGGATTGCCGCTGAAACTCTTGGACTGCAGCCCACAATAAGAAATATATTTTAGGGCTGGGGATATAGCTCAGTGGCACAAGTTCCTGTCTAGCAAGCGCAAGGTCCTGAGTTCAGGTACTTAGTACCCCCCCAAAAAAACATGTTTTATGACATGTGTATATATATTGTTTTCTATCACCACCCAGTGCTAACATACAGGTGGGTACGCACGCCCATATGTATAGAACCAAACAAGTTTTACTGAGAATGAAACACCCAGAAAGCTGCCATTGTCTTCCCTTACTCCATGTGCTGTGCGATATTTTCTGTTTTGTTTGTGTTTTTCTGTTGCCATGCTCCTTAGCATGCTGGTGGGGCATGACCTCCAGGGGAGACAGTGCAGGTAAGCTCTGTAGATTTGAGTGGAAAAGTGGCTAAAGCCTAATTTTAGGAATAGGTCACTGTTGCTGCAAAGAAAATTAGAGCTCCTGTTTCTGTAGTACAGAGTCACAGCTTCTTGGACCGAGGATTTAGCTCAGCAGCACAAGCATCTGCCTGGCAAGCACGAGGCTGTGAGTTCAATCCCCGGTACCAAACAAAACCACAGTCACAGGATCTGTGCTTCCATATGGGAAATAGAAACTCAGCACCTGTGCCGTTGCCCCTAAAGCTGTCTTCCATTCTCTGAGGAGACAGAAATTGGGGTTTGCGCCCAGGAACTTGGTGATTGGGTCCTCAGTCATTGCACACTGGAGCCGTACTGGTCCTTCCCCTGTGCAGGCTATGTGAAGTTACCCCCAGAGAAATTCGCGCCTAAGAAGCAGGGTGATGGTGGGAAGGAGCTCCCCACAGAGGCCAAGAAGCTGCAGCTCAACTCGGCAGAGGAGCTCTACGCCGAGATCCGAGACAAGAACTTCAACGCAGTGGGCTCCGTGCTCAGCAAGAAGGCTAAGATCATCTCTGCGGCCTTTGAGGTGAGACTCCCTGCTGGCCCTGAGTGTCCACTCTGAGAAAAGACTGGCTCAGGTAGGGCTTCAGTGTCACCACATCCTTCCCACCCTCAGCAGCTGCCGATTCAGAAGGTTTTCTTTCTCGTAAACCTTTCCAGGGCTGAGCATGGTGGTACCTGTCTGTCATCCCAGCACTCAGGAGACTGAGGCAGGAGGATCACTGTGAGTTCAAGGCCAGCCTGGGCTACACAGTGAGTTTGAGGCCAGCCTGCACTACATAGCAAAACCCTGTCTCAAAACCCAAAAACCAGCTTCCCAGCCCCACAATGGAAAGGGCTGTGTTAAGTTTTCTCCTGTTTTTAGAGGTTGTGGGGCCACCAAGGTGTGTGCAGTTCGTAAGCTTTTATCATGATCACTGTCATCATGCCCTTCCTCCGCTTCCCACCTCACCGAAGAGGAAGCCAGCTGTACTAAGAACAAAAGCGCCCCTGGGGTAGCACAGAGGCTCACCATGCCATGGGGACCCTGCATACATGGCAGGTGATAATGGATCCCGAGCCTGGCAGCCCAGAGCTCTGATCGGAGGCTTGTTAGCACCTTCCTGCCTGGTCTTGCCCCGGCACTGGTTTATTCATGCTAAGCTCCTCTCTAAAACAGGGGAATTCAGAAAGCTGATAAACTGAATATTTAGACTTTAGAGATACAAATTAGAAGTTTTTAAAGGCTTAACCTTTTTCTGAGTGTGTAGTTCCAGGTTTTTACTGTTGTGAGGAATTATATATATATTTTTGTCTCTGTGTGTGGTTTTTTGAGCCAGGCTCTCACTATGCAGTTTAGGCTGGCCTTGAGCTCACTTTGTAGCCCAGGCTGGTCTCAAACTTAAAATGATCCTCCTGCCTCAGCCTCCCCAGTGCTTAGATCACAGGTGTGAGCCACCACGCTCAGCTCAGGAATTACATATATTAAGTGACTTCAGATTTCTCTTCATGCTTTTAGTCAAGACTGTTTGCCCCTCAATGTATCCTCATTGCTAAGCGGGATGCACTTTGTTTATTGGCAGGACTCAGGATTAAGGCTTGGCAGCAGGGCCAGATCTGTCCCTATCACATAGGAAGTTCTTTACTGGTTGTGGTCCCTTCTGCACACAACCTAATTTTTCCATTTTAGTTTTTGGTTTTTATGACAGAGTCTCACTGTGTAGTTCAAGCTGGCCTTGAAGTCACTATGTAGCGCAGGGTGGCCTTGAACTCATGGCAGTCCTCCTGCCTCAACATCTTGAGTACTAGAATTTCAGGCTTGGTTTGCGCCCAGCCATTTTAGATTTTTAATCAGAAATTTGTATGACTTAACTAACACCATCCCTCAGTAACGGTCGGATGCCCACTGACTCTGGGGCGTCCTCGCACTGTGTGAGCTGCTGACTGCAGAAGAGGATCATAGGTGTTGCTCTCTAGAGAAGCACAAACATGAGAATTGGGCCCCTGGAACTCTTGCTATGGTGCGTTTATTTTTCTGTTACGCAGAATAACATTGAAACTCGGGTGGACCCAGTTTTGGCATTTGCATTTTTCCTTCACATCATTACAAACTAGACGGCCCCAGAAGTGGCTGCCCTGCCTGAGAGCTGCCTCTGCCCCGCAGGAGCGGCACAATGCCAAGACAGTGGGGGAGATCAAGCAGTTCGTGTCCCAGCTGCCCCACATGCAGGCAGCCAGGGGCTCGCTCGCAAACCACACCTCCATCGCAGAGCTCATCAAAGACGTGACCAGTAAGTACCCCTGTACCCCTGGGGCACAGTTCTTTCTGCTGGGGCAAACTTACACGCGCAGCGTCCAGCACCCTGGTCAGCGGCACCCTGGTGCTTCCCTGGGAAAGTCAGCTCCGGGTTTTCTCCAGGGAGCGGTGCTGGGCCTGGAACCCAAGGCCTCTTGTATACACGGCCCCTTCTTCATGGCTCAGCTCTGCTTTGACCTTGGTGTGCCTCTCTGTGTTGGATATAAGGGTAGCCCATTATGGTTAACTCATTTTATGATTAAGTAGGTGACGGAATATTTGGAAAAACAGAAGAAATTGATCCCTGAGATTGTCCCCATAATAACAAGAGGCAGTTTAGTCTAGTTCCCCCTCCCCACATCATGAAGAACTTTTTAATTAGAGCAACAGTGTTTCTTTGGAGTTTTAGCTTTCCCTGGAAAATTGTCTGCAGAATTGGTACAGAGAGCCAAACTTGAATATTTTGATAAAGCTCAGCTTTACATCAAACACACTGGAAAGCGAGCTCATGGCCTCATGCTTGCCAGGCAGGTGCCTGTGCCACTGAGCTATGTCCCCAGCCCTATGTAGTATACTTTGAATCTTAAATAAATCACAAGGTAGGAGTACATGGTGTAGTGCATGCCTGTAGTCCCAGCACTCGGGAGGATGAGGCAGGACGAATGTTACCAGTTTGAAAGCTAGCCTAAAAACAGCAAAACTCTTGGGACATTTGTTTTCATGGATATACTCATCATGCAAAATTCTAACATTTGTATTTAAATTCTAGGGACAGCAAAAGAGTACAGTAGTCAGCTATGTCAAATGTGATTTTGTTCAGAGTTTTAGGTTTTCCATGTTTCTTAGACAAGTCTCTTTGGTTGATGATTTGAACTCAGACTCTCTTTCTTTTTTACATGTTTTTTTTTTTTTTTTTTGTCTTTTTCCTTTTTACCAGGGATCGAACTCACGACTGCCTGCTTACAAGGCAGGCACTTACGCCACTGAGCTAAATCCCCAGCCCCTATGTTTTGTTTCTTAATCATGCTTCACGTATAAAAGTACACCCTTCAAATAAGTGAACATTTATTGAGTTTCTAAGCGGCAAATATATTAATTGCATTTCAGCTTCTGAAGACTTCTTTGATAAATTAACAATGGAACAGGAGTTTATGTCTGGAATAGACACTGATAAGGTATGTAGACCATAAACCACTCTAAAAAATGATGGACAGTTTATCAGACATAACTACAGCCAAGTAATCAATTGCTCTGATTTTTATACCTTGCCTAAGTTTATGAACAAGTGCAACATGTGAAAATTCGAATTTTGGGGGCTGGGGATTTAGCTCAGTGGCATAAGTGCCTGCCTTGCAAGCAGGCAGTTGTGAGTTCGATCCCCAGTACCGATAAAAAGGAAAAAGACAAAAAAGAAAATACGAATTTTATCAAAGCACAGAAGTTAGCATTACTTTTTATGTGACAGTTTGGTAGCACATGGTGAGATGAGAACTGTTCCCTGAAATTCAGGATTTTTCAGCACTATAGTAGATAAAGAAGATCTTTGCTTTTGGGGCTGAGAATTAGCTCAGCGGCGGGGCAGCTCCCTCGCATGCCTGAGGCCCTAGATTCAATCCCCAGGACCGCCCAAAACAAAACTTGATATTTTTTTATAATGTTTCTTTAAATGTTTTGCTCTATTAAATTTCTTAATTAAATGTATGAAGATCCCCACCTTCTAGAAGTATTCCTATTACTCTGCTCTAGGTAAGTTGCCACTATCCTGGAGGTCGGTGAGGTCACAGAAGCCCCGGGCATGCGGTAGCCTTTCACGTGGCATCCACAGTGATGTCTTGGAGCAGGCCCTGCAAGTGGCTGGTGGTGTCCTTGCTGCCCTGCGCCCCTGGGGTTTGGTCTGCTAGCTGGTGTGTTTGCCCAGTGGCCCAGGGTGGTAAACTGCCTTGCACAGGGGCCAGGGAGGGAGAGAAAAGAACTGATCATCTTCCTGTACATTTCCTTTCTGGGACTTAGAAAAGTAAGCGTAAATATCAAATTCTTGAAGTCAGTGAAGCAGATAAACTATGTGTGTACTTTGTTTCTAGGTCAACAATTACATTGAGGACTGTATCGCCCAAAAGCACCCACTGATCAAAGTGCTACGGCTGGTTTGCCTCCAGTCCGTGTGCAACAGCGGACTCAAGCAGAAGGTTTTGGATTATTACAAAAGAGAAATCCTCCAGGTAAGTGTATTTTAAATTTTTTAGTTTGCCAAATGGGAAAACATTCCTTTAAAAAGTATTTCACAAAGCTGCTGTTTTGGTATGTTTTACTATCACTGGCCTTTTAATTTTTCAGTACCTAGAGGAATTATTCTGTTGTCTGTTACAGGAGCTGTATGTGTATGCAGTTAATACAACCCTGTGTCTTAGCTATTGGAATCTTCATTTTAGGTGAAAATCTGAGCCATAGACAAAGATGTACCTCCCAAGGTCACCCACCTAGTTGATGGCAGAGCCAGCACCAAAACCCAGGTCACTTGGATCTAGCACTCATTCATAAGGTTATGAAGAAAGAGAACTTCTTGTAAATTTCTGACAATAGTTGCTTAATAGGCTTAAGTCTTACTTTAGAATGAGGAAAATCCCACTGCCATTTTAAAAATTTCCCTTCTGTTTGAATATGCCTTAGACAGTATTTATTTGCTATTATCAGTCACTGGGAGGGAATGTATTACTGTTAAAATTAAGTGCTCATGAATTTATTATGCTTTTGTTGTTTTACTTTTGAATCAGGGATTGAAGCCAGGACCTTTGCACTGAACTTTTTGTGTTTGTGTTTCTTTCGCTTTGTTCTAATTCTTTTGACAGTACCTTGCTAAGTGCTAACTTGCCAGGCTGGGTTTGGATTTCTTTTGTTCACAAGTGGAAAGAGTTTATGGAGAGAGAGGTCCTGAGAGATCTCTGGGCTCCTGGAAGTGGGTCACTCGGCTTTCTTAAGTTTCACGTGTAATGTACGTTCTAATAATCCAACAGCGCAGGAGTGCAGGGCAGAATCCCTGCATCTCCAACCCTGAGTGCGTCTCTGCCTTCCTCCGTAGAAGTGACTCGTGCCAAAAATTAGGTTTGTCTCCTTCCATTTGTTCAGCTTTGAGTGCTTATGTGTGGCAGGGTGAGACTGGCCAGGGGCCCAGCTCTGCTGTCACTGGTGACCTTAGGCAAGTCCCTAAACGTCCGTGTTAAGTAGAGATAGTTACAACTGCCTCTTGGGGTCACAAGGGGACTGAGCTAATAGGAAGTGCTTAGGACAATGCTCAGCTCATACAAGGGGTTATGTAAGCCAGGCATGATGGCCCATTCCTGTTATCTAAGGACTCAGGAGGCTGAGGCAGGAGGGTTGCCTTGAGTTCGAGGCCTGGCTGTGCTCATATTGAGTTCAAGTCCAGCCTGAACTACATTGAGACCTTGTCTCAACACACACACCCAAAACTAAAGCCAAAACCAAAACTCTACTTTATTACCATCTTTTTGTCTTAAAAGAATATCCAGAAATTCTTCTGATTGGCTTTCCCGCTCTGCCTTTCTTTTTCGGTAGTAATTATATCTCTTGTGTGTTATACTTTCTGTGATGCTTCGGTTGCCCACAGTAATTCTGACTGTGAATACTGTAAGCCCGCAGGGAGAGAGGGCTGGGTTGCCAGGAATGGCAGACAGCGTCCGTGCGGTTCGTCCCTGCGCTCCGTCCCGTGCTCAGCAGCAGTCATTGCTGGAGCCTGGTAACAGACTGACTTGGAAGTGAGCTGTTCTGAGAATTGCAGACGTCCTTCTGACCTGACGTCAGAGCTGGTGACTTCTCTTGCAGACCTACGGCTACGAGCACATCCTGACCTTGCACAACCTGGAGAAGGCTGGCCTGCTGAAACCGCAGACGGGGGGCAGGAACAGTTACCCCACCATTCGGAAGACGCTCCGCCTCTGGATGGACGACGTCAATGAGCAAGTGAGTGTCACGCCGGCGCTGCCTGGTTATGGTTACAAAGCGTGTGGAGGTGACACACAGTCACTTAGTCGACACAGCTGTCTTTCGGAAAATAGTTCTCTTGTGCTTTTGAACTCGAAACGCATTCGTGTGTTGTGTCCATCAGAAGCTCAGTAGGGAACGTGGTCTTCGAGGGCAGATGAATAAATAAAGATGTGCCTGGCCAGGAGAGCTGGGCTGTGGGAGCTCTTCCCTGCGAGGCCTGTGGGGCCAGGAGAGGGAGTCCATCTGGAAACCTGGGGGTGCGGGGAGGCACATGGCCCCGGGGGAAGGAGGGCAGCCCAGGAGGTGCGCATGGAATCCCTTTGCCTGAGCAACACAGCTGTCCAGGACTAAGGCAAGCGGTGAGGGCGCTTCCCTGCACACAGCCGTGCTCCTGCAGAGGCCGCTCCTTGCAGATCTGCAGAGTGGGGTCCACCACCTTTAACATTCACTGTTTCTTGTAGTGTTTCTAGACTTCATCTTCTCATTGTTGTTTTTGGTTTTCCATAAAGATCTTTATTGGGCTATCTTTAGCAATAAGGGCTTATAGCTAGACCGTTCTCCAGCAGCAGCAAGACTGGATTATTTTTCCCAGTAGGGAAATAGATTCCCTTAATTGTGCATGTTATCGTGTATGTGTTAGCTCAGCTTTCCTTGCTGTACTGACTGCTGTTCCCCTAAATCCACCCACACCACTTAGGGGGTGATCGCCAAGATCCTTCATTGATCTACCTCATTTCTGCTAATTCTGTTCAGTTGCTACTGAGGGAGTTTTTGTTTCTTTCTGTGCTTTCTGTTCGGGGAATTGAGCTCAGGGCCCTGGGCATGCTAAGTGCTCACAGCTTTCTACTGCTAACCTACACCCCCAGTGTCTCCGCAGTGGTCTGAGGCCACACCTTGTTTGTAAAGGAAAGTAAAAATTCAGGTCATTTCTAGCCTTTTGCTTCGACAGGGTTGTAGTTTGTGTGTTTATCCTTTGGTTTATTCCCTGCTGCAGGGTAATCGCTAACAGTACAGTACAGTTAACAGTACAGTTGCAGGATTTAGAGGTGCTGTGCACTGTTGTTCAGCTCGAAGGCCAAACCCAGCAGTTTTTCATCTTTAGTACTCCAAGCTGCCTTGAGCAGCTTTTTGAGATTCAGGTCAGCTAGTCTAGGGGGGTTGGAACAGGACTTTGCCAGAGCATCATCAGTTTCTGTCCTCCCGCCACACCTTGGATTTCTCAGAGGACCAGAGATGCTCTCGGCCTCTGCTGCCTACAGGTTCTTTTTCCCTTTCATTATGCACAGAACCCTACAGACATATCCTACGTGTACAGTGGCTATGCACCGCTCAGCGTGCGACTGGCCCAGCTGCTGTCCCGGCCGGGCTGGCGCAGCATCGAGGAAGTGCTCCGCATCCTCCCGGGGCCCCACTTCGAGGAGCGCCAGCCGCTGCCCACGGGGCTGCAGAAGAAACGTGAGTTCTGTGCAGCATCCACAGTGGTCCCGGGCTGTCGGTGTGTGTTGTGGAGTCGCGGTGTAGAAGGGGCGTGAAGTGCTTGAGAGTCACACTCAGATCCCCCCCTTTGACTCCTCACTGATGCCTATAGTGTCCCGCCCTCGGGAGCCACAGCTTCCAGTCTGCCTCGAGCCTCTCCAAAGTCAGAAAAGGTTCTGAGAGCAAAGTCAGCGTGCTGCAGTTTCAGGGGTTCTGTGCCAAGCTGCATGTGACCCTTCTATTCCTAGCAGTGCAAAAAAAATATTTTAAATCAGAAAGACAAGCACCTGTAATACCTCTAATTTCTGAAATGTTTACATTGCAGGGCAACCTGGGGAAAACCGAGTCACCTTGATATTTTTCCTTGGGGGTGTAACGTTTGCTGAAATCGCCGCCCTGCGCTTTCTGTCCCAGCTGGAAGATGGAGGCACAGAGTACGTCATTGCCACCACCAAGCTAATGAACGGGACCAGCTGGATAGAGGCGCTGATGGAAAAACCTTTCTAGGATGTCCCAGGACACGCGGAGGGCACTGCACAGCAGCTGCCTCCCTGAAGGAGACACTGAGAGAAAGGGAAGCCCTGCAGAGGGAACCGAGTCCAGCGGCCTCGCCTCGGAGTCTGTTTCTTGTGCTAGTGTTTTCTCCTGCCTGCTTCCCATTTGGGTTCTTAATTATTTGAAGAAAGAAGAGGAGGACTGTATTGCCCTGGGTAAAAGAGATACGGGTTTTGAATTTTTTAAGCTCATGGTCTTCATGCGAGGCCCCTGGCATTACAGCAGGATGTGGGGACGGAGGATCCTTACGGCCCCCCAGATGGAGGAGGTTCTTAAAGTAGGAGAGTAGAGACCGGGGAGGTCAGAATGGAAAGTCCGGGCCCTGGTCCAAGGGGCTGTATTTCTGGAAGACGCCGCACCTGGGGTGTGTGGCAGTGGCTGTGCGTTGAGGTCTGGAGCCGATGTCGCTGTCCCAGCATGACTCCTCCTCAAGAGGAAGGCTCCTTGTGTTTGTGTCTCTAACTTCGCTCCTGTCTGATCGCTGAGCAAATTTTGTTCCTTCAAGAAGGAAGAGCTTGCATAGATTCTTACCAGAAACAAGGTGCACGCTCTGCGGTCAGCTGCCTGTGTGGTGCCATGCCTGTCAAGCACTTTCTACCCCGAGGAACAGAATAATGGGGAGCAGCTTCCAGGTAATTCCGCCATCAAAGACACTCCCTTAGCGCCTGTGTTGGTGACTCCAGGAATTTCTGTGATAGCTGCTGCCAAGGAGATGTTGTTTTTATTCCCCATCCGTCCTGGGCTCAGCTTCTAGTTGGTTCCACCATGAGCAGTGGAACTGTTATTCCTTGGGCATCTGGCCACTCTGTCTCCATGGTAATGCCACACGGTCGTCTGGGGCCACACGGACTCACCCTCTCCATCCATTTTGTTTGTGGATACCTAGCTCTGTTTCAGTCCCTGGCCTGGTGACCTTGGACACACCTGATGGATCTCATTGACAGAGTCCAGCAGCCACAGCCGCCACTCCTGCTGGGCACTGTTGGCTGTGATGGAGAGCGGAGAGTTCAGAGATCCATGTGTGTTCCCCACCTCCCGCCTCACCCCAGTGTCCAGGGGAGTTAAGAGCACAGCGGGTGGCCACGTGGATGGCTTTCCTGCCACGCCCAGGTATCCAGCAAAGTCAGCTGGTCCCCAGCGTTGCTGGGTCACATTCCTGTTTTGGTTTCCCTTATTAATCACAACTTGCACATTTTCTGTCTCCTTCTCACTAGTGGAAATTTTTTCTTTTTTCTTCTTTTTTTGGTTTTTAGATACAGGGTTTCACTATGTAGCCCAGGCTGGCCTCGAACTCATGGCAGTCCTCTTGCTTCAGCCTCCCGAGTACTGGGATTACAGTGGCATTCTGATAGCTACATTGCATGTTATGAGTGGTAGACATTATGGATTTTTAAGAAAACAGCAGGGGTGAGGCCAGCCTGGGCTACAAAATGAGACCCTGTTTCCAAACAAAAACCTATTTAGTGTAAGAATGAAGAGGCAGCAGAGGTGATGTTTATGTATTTTTCCAGTGCATTTTATTTCAAAGAGAAAAAAATAAAAATTTCAAAACACCATTGGAGGATAATGTTTTAAAAGATGAGTTTCTCGTGGAATTAATTTGTGCTTGACATTATTTGGAAATGGAGAACTATTCCCAACTGGAAAGCCATTCTTATTTTAGAGAATCCTTTTTCAAGCACTTGTTACCACACTTGTCATCCCGGGAGATCAGTGTATACTTTGGGCCCTGGCCGTGTGAGCTTCAGCTGCTTCAGAGAATGAACCTACCCTGCCCCTCCGGTGCAGAGTCTGAGAGTCTGGTGTCTGTGTTCTTTCAAGACTGCTTGTCAAGCATAGCAGATCAGCTCCTGAAAATGCATTTAGCAGAAGATTTAGAAACACCAGGCACCTCATTTGTACACCAGTAGAAAGCGGTGGGTAACTGTGCATTGTGTGCCTTTGCGTAAGGTCAGTGCATCCTGGAAGCCGCCTTTGTCTCTGAGCACCGTGCCCTTGTCAGACGGGGAATGTGAATGGTGTGTTTATTCCTGGAGCAGGCAGGTTGTTTCCATCATGCCTGGCTTCCGTCTAGTTGGGGAGGCAGACAGTTGTGCTACACAAGCAGTCCCCTCAGAGGAGAAGTCTGCAGAGACAGTTCTGTGTCTTACATGGTTTTAATTCTTGGCCGACAGAGAAATAACTGTGCTTTCATTGTGGAGCAAGAAAGTAATGGTTAGGGGAGCAAAGATTAAGCACAGGACGTTTAATTCTTGGAGAGAACTGGGAAGGTCTTGCTGTGGGTCCTGTTCCTCTGGAGCCCTGGCCTCCCTGGAAGTGGAGGTGATTGGGGGGGGGGGGCGGTGCTGCTGCTCCCTGCCCTGGGCTCAGTTGAACATTAGAGACCCACAGGGGTGGGGCGTGGCTGTGCTTTGCCTGTGAGAGGTTTGGGGTTCAGTTCCCACCCCCTCCCCAGACTGGCCTGTCACAGGAGGAAATTCTGTATTCAGGAAAATTGAATTCAAGCACTTTTTTTTTTAATCGGTACTGGGGATCAAATGCACAACTGCCTGCTTGCAAGGCAGGTTCTTGTGCCGCTGAGCTAAATCCCCGGCCAAACAAAAGTACTTTTAAAACTACTGAAAGAATCAGGTGTCTGAAACAGGAAGTGGGGGCTCTGAGAGAGCTGTCAAGTCACAGGAATGGGGACATCATGTGGACCTGTCTCCTGCAGACGGTGAACTGTCCTCCAGAGTACAGTGCCTTGGGTTGTTTCACAGTGACATACTGTAGGAAACAGAGGTTCCCTTTTGGTCAAAAACTGAAAAAGCAATGATACAAAACTTCTCAGAGTCCTGTTTCTAAACAGATTCGTGCCAGTCTTAGGCTCTGTTGTTTCTTAGCTTCGTGTACCCCACTGTGGTAAGGTGCCCCCAGCCAGGAGTGAGACGTGGCTGCAGCGTGTAGACCAAATCCCTTGGGGGACCGCTTTTGAAGGATGTCAGACCCCAAAGGGAACAAATCAGGCAGCCTGGCTTCTGCATCTGTCACTTTGGAGACGAGTGAGGTATCTTTTCTTTTCCGGTAACCAGGCAGGACACGGGAGCCCTTCAGATGACCGGTTCTCTGGGGGAGCAATTACTACTTACTGACTTCCTGAGCAGCTTGATAATGTTCTGCTCCTGTTTTCAGTCAGGCTGCAGCTGAGGCAATGATTTGATAATAAGAGATCCTGATTAAATTAAGGAGCCATTTGCTCCTGGATGATGATGTTTATAAGAGGGTTGATGTCCACACTCTTGGTTCTCCCACCAAGGTCAAAAATAGTCTTTTAATACTTGGTTCAAGTGAAATACTAAAAAGCAGCATAGAATTTGTGCATGCTTTCCTTCCTTGTTAATTCTGGGCAGGTGTTGCGTCCTCAGCTGGGCCCTTTTGCCTCACATGTGGCAGAGCTGAAGTTGGATGCACTGGGTGGACACCTGTGTAACGAGTCTGGGAAGGGATAAACTCTGAATTAGGCAAACACTGCTGAGCACTTGAGCACCAAAGCACGCGTCTGCGGGCGCATATGTGCTTGTTCATGCTTGCCTGTGCTTTGAAACAGCAGGGTTCGCTTCAGTCAGGAGTGGATGTGCAGTTCGGTCCCCAGACGGAGTACATGGGGCTGCTGCTGTTAGCATTGTTGGCATGACAGCCCACCTAGACAGGCAGGGCAAGAGTAGGCTTGAGATGCTCCTAGGTGTGACGCCCATGGGCCTCACCTTTACAGAGAAGACAGGCAGAGGGCAAACAGGGTTGCAGTGCCCGCCTGGCTCGGGACTGCCTGCTGCCCTCTGCAGCTCCTCAGCGCCCAGGGACCACGCGGCGCTCGTAATTGGCCGCTAGACCACACCTATTATTGAGTGCGGCTGCTGCCTGAAGACCTCAGAGCTGCCTGGATCGCTGGAGTGCGCAGCCAGCCATCCACACAGACCAAGGAGCTGCAGGCTGCTTCAGGCAGGAGTCCGGCAACTTCGACGAGTGAGTGAAACCGGGTGACAAGTCAGTGGCAGCACTGAGGGGACCTGTGGCCAGGGACATGGGCTGCCAAAATCAGAGGACATCTGAGGAGGGTCAGCAGGGCTGGGATAGTGCACGGGGGCACGTGGAGGGGACAGACCTCAGAGCTTGGTGCCCCCTTCTCGCGCTCAGCCTGCAGCCCAGGAAGTTGAGGGCTGCAGAGAGGATCTGGGAGCTGCAGAGGAGACTGGGGGCTGCAGCGGTGTTTTGTGGGCTGAATTGGGGGGCTGGAGGGTGCAAGTGGGGCCTGGGAGCTGCAGGGGTGGAGTCTGGAGGCTGCAGGGGTGACCTGGGGCTGGAAGGGTGACCCGGGGGTGCAGGGGGCATAGGGTGATTCCCGAGGCTCCAGGCAGAATCTGGGAGCTTCAGGGAACCAAAGCTTGCGCGAAGGGAAAGCTTGACTCTGCCCGCCATTAGCAACATTAAAAATGCAGGAATGGCGGGAAGAGGGCCAGGCCTCCAGCGCTGACTGCTGCCACCTCGCCTCGAGATGAAGGGGCGGCGTGGGAGGCAGCGGTGCCCGTGTCGGTGGCTACCAGCTCTCAGCTCCCCGCTTCCCCAGGCGATGCCGGCCTCGCCCGCCGTCCACGTGCTGCAGCTGCTGCGGGAGCTGCTGGCCTTCGTGCTGCTCAGCTACACGGTGCTGGTCGGGGCACTGCTGCTGGCCGGCTGGACCACCTACTTCCTGGTGCTGAAGTGACAGCGCCGCCGCCCCACCCCGAGCCTCTGCCGCTTCCCGAGCTAAAGAACCAACTCAGCGTGGCGCCTGCGCCTCCTCTCCAGCCACACCCTCGACTCGAACCCCAGGCCCATGCCCACGTCGCGATGCGCGCCACCGCCCGCGCCTCATCCCTAGTCCCGCGCTGCCACTCCGGCGGTTGGGCGCCAGCCGCAACCGTTTTCGCCGTTATCCTGGGCCCCGCCCCCGGCCTTCCCGTCTGTCCAATCCCAACTGCGTCCTTCGGTGGGGGCGTGGCCGTGAGGCTGAGTTCTCTCAAGTGCGGAAGGCCGCGCCCCTCACGGAGCTGCGTCACTTCCGGCGTGTGTGTCCGGCGTCCGCTAGGCGTGGAATGGCGGCTCTGAGGACCTGGGTGTCGCGCAGTGTCACTTCTCTGTTCAGGTACAGCTGGGGCCGCGCAGGTAGGCGGGAAGGGAGGCAGCCAAGGGACGCTGAGAGTACTGAGGCGGCTCTGAGAGGCGTCCGCCCCCTCGGAAGTCTGTGGACCCTCGGTCGCTAGGTGCCACTGGGTTCCCTCTCGCGGACGGCGGTCCCGTTACTCAGTGCCTGAGAACCAGCCCCGCCCCCGCTGCCGGCCGGGCCCCTCCGCCCCTTCCAAATTCCCGAGGAGGACCGGGAGTCAGGAAGGGGTCGGGAGCGACCCTCGAGACCCCCAGCCCGGCCAAACCGTAGCGTCTGTCGCGGGGGCGGGGCCGTGAGCCTCCGGCGGGGTGGCGGTACCCGGCGCCGGCGGTGGGGAGCTGCCCCGTGTCGGCTCGATTTGAGTTTCCGACCCCTGCAAATAAGTCCTGTACCCATTGATATTTGTGCCTTTATTATAAATTCGACTCCTGTCTCTAGGCTCAGACAGTGCGTCCCCGTTCCGGCCAACTCCAGGAAGCGCTGTCTGTGGGAACTGCTGAGACCATGGCACAGAGCGGCAGTGGCTGGATTCGGCGTGGCCCTGTGCGCGGTTCCCATCGCTCAGGTGACTGCTGGCCCGCCTTCCATCTCCCTGGCCACGGGGAAGCATAAGAGAAGCCGCCAGGCGCCTGAGAGGATGCTTGTTCTCAGAGTTCATCCTCCCACCAGATTGTCTCATTTTGTAGAACCTTTAAGTTGTATGGAGAGTAACTTGAAGAGTATTGTAGTGTGTCAACAAAAGTCATGCATTCAGCAGAAACTTAATTGAACAACTTTTGTGTGTCATCCATTGGGAATGTAGTAAGAGTGAGCACAGCTGTAATCCTAGCACTCGGAGGCAGAGGCAGGAAGATTGCTGCTAGTCTGAGGCCAGCCTGAGCTACAAAGTGAGTTCAAGGTCAGCCTGAACTGGGCAGTGAAATCCTGTCTTCAAAAAAAAAAAAGGGTCAAGCAGAAACTTCTTGCCACCATGAAACATTCAGGACAGATGAAAGAAAAGGGAAAAAATGTTTAAAATGTCAGCTGGTGATAACCTTTGTGAAGAAAACAGTAATAGGAACTCCTGGGGAGAGGGTCATTTGGCTTTACTTAAGTGTAGGTCAAGAAAAGCTACTCCGATAAAGTAAAGTATTAGAGTTGAATCATCTGAGAGTGCATCATAAAAATGTCTGATGAGGCAAACAGCTTGCCAGGCAGAAGGGCCCTTTTAATGTAAAGGGCTGGGAGCGCTACTGTGCTGCTTGTGTTGAGGAACAGCAGGATGTGACTGTTGGGAAGGGAATGAGTTACTAGGTAGAGCCAGATGTGTGCTGTGGGGGCCACTGTAAGGCTTGGGGTGTTATTCTGAAAATGAAAGCCAGAGGACTTTAACTCGGGACTACTACGATCTGACATGTTTTTAAATGGCTGTTGTCTGGCTCTGGTAGGACTCCTAAGAGGTTCACATGATAATCTTGGCGTGAAATGATAGTGACTTGGACTAAGCAGGCAGCAAAGGAGGTGGGGAAACTGGCTGAATATGGCCAGCAGGAGTTATTGATGGATTCCACATGGATAATGTGTATTTCAAGATTTCTTTAAAGGCCTAATCAACTGAAAGAATGCGGTTGGCTAGGATATAGATGATTGAGTTTTTAGAGGAGGAAATCTTTCCGTTTTGGAAGTGTGTGTGGTGGTCCATAGACATCTAGGTGGATTTGCCACATAGGCAGTTAATACCAAAGTGGCTCCTGGTCTTAAGAATCCCTGGCTGTGTACTTCATGAGGAAGAGCTAGGCAGGAAACTAGCAAGCAATATTTCATCAAAATATTCCCGACAGCTTTATCAGGATTGATGCCATTTATTGTCAGTATTTTCATTATCTTCTGAGGCTCACTTACAAGCCCAAAACCTTGCTGTATTCATTTCAGCAAGGCATGCTCTGCATGCCAGAGCCTTAAAATCCCCACATGAATACCAGGATTGGGATGATTGTCTTGTCCTTCAAAAGACTGTTGGGTTTGTCCCTTCTCAGTTCTAAACCCTGATTTCCTCAGTTCCAGGCCATGTGACAGGAGCAATAGTCACTCCCCTGAGGTACAGAAGACCCACTTCCGTCTTTTAGAACCCCTGGTCCCTCCTCCTGTGTCACAGAAGTAACATCTTTACTCTGCACTCCAGTGTCCTAGTCAGTGTTAACAAGGCTGGATTCTTGGACATTGCTACCTGCAGCAAATGTGTTCCTCTTTCCTAGGATCCCTGATCATTTTAATTCCAACTGCTTCCAATGCCAGGCCCCACCTCCTTCCTTTAAAACCTTGCCTAGCTCCCAACCAATAATCATCTGTCTCCTCCTGGCCATTTATTATACATTTTGATATTTGATGATAATTCCTTTGGCACTTTTGTGAGTCAGCATGGCATAAAGCAAAGGGTACACACTTTGGAAGGATAAAATTTGATTTGAGGGCCAGACTGTGACCTTTTAAGGAAAATTATATAACTACTATGAACTTGCACTTCATTTGTAAAAAAAATTTTTAAGGAACTATTTTAAGCCTCTCTGGAACTATTTTAAACTACCTGAGTAACTTGGTGGAATCCCAAGTCAGAAAAGGATAGGGGGTTGAGGGCTGGGGATTTAACTCAGTGGTATAAGTGCCTAACCTGGCCAGCAGGAGATCATGAGTTCGATCCTCAGCACCAAAAAAACGGGGGGATAGGGATGTAACTTAGTGTAGAAAGCTTGCCTAACATGCACTCAGCCTTGGGGTCAATGCCTAGTACCATAAAAAAATTTTACAAATCTTTGGAGATAAAATGAAAGTTAGGTAGAAACCTTACTGTGGAGTTACTTCCCTGTGTTGTTTTATGTAACCAAATTAAGTCTAAGCAAAATTTGGAGCAGTTTAGTACAGTTAGAGCTTAAAACACAAACCAGCAGGGTCAGCGGTGTGGCTCCGCGGCATAAGTGCCCGAAGGTCATGAGTTCAGTTCCTGGTACCAAGAAAAAACACAAAGGAGCAGAGAAGCAGGTTTTGTCTTAAGTATCCATGACGTTCTCAGGTTAGGCTTTACAGCTGAGTTACGATATTTGTCTTTCAGAAATCGGAGCCCCATTCTCTTAGTAATGAAGCCTTAATGAGAAGAGCTGTGTCTTTGGTAACGGATAGCACCTCTACCTTTCTCTCTCAGACCACCTACGCACTGATTGAAGCCATCACTGAATACACTAAGGTAAGGCTCCGCTAAGTCCTGGTCTTCTAAGCCAGGGCTTAGCAAGCCATGGCTTACCACCAGTTCCAGTCTGCTGGTTGCATTTGTTTTTTTTTGTTTTTGGTTTGTTTGGTTTGGGGTGGGGTATTGAGACAGTGTCTCATTGTGTAGTTCAGACTGACCTTGAACTATGTAGCCCCAGCTAGCCTTGAACTGGAAGCAATCCTCCTGCCTCAGCCTCCCAGTATATGATTACAGGCTGCACCACCATGCCTGATTGCATTTGCATTTTATTGCAGGTTAGCCAGGCTCATTTATTGTCTCTGAATAATTTCAAGAGCTTGAAAATCCCAAAAATGTTTTGTCTGGCCCCTTACAAAACAGTTACAGTTACGAAGTGTGATCTAAATCGCTGGCTTTTTATTTTTACTCTAGGAACCTTTTTTGGGGGGCGAGGGGGGTCTTACAGAAAAATCGTTGGAATCCCAGCACTCAGAAGGCTGAGGCAGGAATCCTTGTAAGTTGGAGACCAGCCTGGTCTATGAAGTGAGCTCAAGGCCAGCCTGAATTGCATAGTGTGAGACCCTGTCTCAAAAAGACCGAAAAAAAACTTATTAAATATGAGAACCCCGTATATAAAATAGAAGCCAAGCTGATCTGTCTTCAGTAAGGGGTAAAAGAGTCCAAGGCTTACTCTCAGAGGTTTCCCTGTGAGAACTGTTTGAAAACCATTAATCTGAAATAAAAGAGTAATCAGAATTACTCAGAAGCCTTCACTGCTGTGCCAAATACTTGTAGTGCCAGCTGCTTGGGAGGCTAAGGCAAGAGGATCATTTGAGACCAGTCTGGACAACATACCTGTTCTAAAAAAACAGATTCTGGGCAGGTGTGGTGTAAGCACCTGTAATCCAAGCTACTTGGGAGACTAAGGCAGAAGGATCACAAATTCGGAGCCGCTCTGAACAACAGAGTGAGCTACTGACTCAAAGAAACCGGATTTTATAGGTGGATACACTGATGTCCTGAATGATGCCCCTGCTTCATACAGTGCACAGTTTCAGTGAGGTGCAAGGCCTGGAGAGCCATTTTGCTATAAAGGAACTTGACATCCTAGAATCATATCACCAGCCCTTCTCATGTGCCTCGCTTATTTTGCTCATTCATTGTTTTTGTAGGCTGTTTATACATTAGTTTCTCTGTACCGACAATACACAAATCTGCTTGGGAAGATGAACTCCCAGGAAGAAGATGAGGTGTGGCAGGTGATCATAGGAGCCCGAGTGGAGGTAAGGAGAGAGGTGTCAGGCGTTTGTTCATCTTCCTGCCTCATGGTGTAATCTGAATTACTGCATTAAGCAGTCTACTCAGGAATGGCTCTGGAACCTGCTAGTTGAATAGTCCACCTAGCTGCGTTAACCCTCTCGTGTCATCTGAATTCACAGATGACTTCCAAACAGCAAGAATACTTGAAGTTGGAAACCACCTGGATGACTGCAGTTAGCCTTTCAGAAATGGCAGCAGAAGCTGCGTACCAAACTGGTAGGTTACAGGGGCTTTTGTTTTTGTTTTCTATAGGGGAGATGCTGTTTGATTTTTTCATTTAGCTGTAGAATGAGGGATTTAAGTTGATGACATCCAGTATCACTGTAACTTCATTAAAAGTTAACATTTTATTTGCACAGCAGGAAAAATGCAGTCTCATAGACCAGATCAGTAGAAGGTAGGATGTCAAGATTTAGAAAAATGAAAATAATATATGAGAAAACCACTGCCCCGGGAAATGTTTCCAGTTTGAGCACTGTTGGATAACACAGACACTGTGTTAGAATAGCACAGTGAGACTCAAGCTCATCAGCGTACAAGAGCCTTTTTGTACAAATGGAAGAAAAACGCGGAATCACAGTGGTGAAACTGGTGCAAATCTTTGAGCGTTTATCTCTCCAGGCTTTGCGATGAGCACCTCATAGGCATTTTCATGCCTGCAGTTCCTTGAAGCAGAAACTGTTGTCACCATTCCCATTTACAGCCAGAGAAACTGGGTGACACCTAACCTACCACAGCACAGGTGGGAAGTGGCTAAAGTGAGATGCACCTATGTGGGGTCAGTCTAGGGCTTGTGTCTGGTAGCTAGTGGTCTGTCCTCTGTCACCTCAGTGACCTAAACTGCCTCAACATTGAAAATGCAGTGTTGTTTGGTTTCGTTTTTTAAATTTAGTGAGACTGGCTCACCTTGAACTCATTTTGTAACCCAGGCTGGCCTTTTCTTCATGGCAGTCCTCCTGCCTCAGCCTCCTGAACGCTGGGATCACAGGTGTGTACCGCCATGCCCAGCTTTGCAATTTTGTTATTTTTTTACTTTTTGAATCTCACCACCTATCAAGAGGATGGATAGCCAATTTATTTTACTTATTTTTTGGCAACAGTGAGGATTCAACCCAGGATCTTCACACTAAGCTCTGTCCCATCCCTTTTTGTTTTTGAGACAGGGTCTTGAACTTGTGATTCTCCTGCCTTCCAGAGTGCTGGGGGAAAACAAAATGGGAAAAAGGTGGAAAATTATGGAAAGATAAACTAAGGAATTAATGAAAAAAACCCTCATAAAAGATTAACAGCAACATCAGAAAAGGCAAAAGCTATAAGTGGATCAAAGAACAAGTAATGGTATCAATCATAAATGTGTATCTAGTAAGTCAAAATGGATGGAGTTACAGAAAGTTAAGGGGTTTTTGTTAGGTTTTTTGGGGTTTTTTTGTTGTTGTTTCTGTCTTTTTGAAACAGGGTCTTGCTGTGCAATTCAGGCTGGTCTCGAACTTGCAAAGTCCTCCTGCCTCAGCCTCCCTATTGCTGGAATTATAGGCATGCACCACCACACCCAACTAGAAGTTAAATTTTATACATGTTTGAGAGAGACTCAGATCAGTAAGGCCAGACTCTAAAGCTGTTCTGGATTGGAATAGAATTGCTTTAAAAAGCTTAACTGAGGGGCTGGGGATTTAGCTCAGTGGCATAAGCGCCTGCGCAAGCAGGCAGTCATGAGTTTGATCCCTGGTACCGATAAAAATGAAAAAGACAAAAAAAAAAAACTTAACCGAATATAAAAGTTCGCCCCCTTTCCATGAGAAACACATACTCAGACACAAAACATGTACAAAAATGATCTTATACCAGCTGAAAGACAACATAACGTTAAAATTCTAACATTCATTGGCCCACGGCCAAAACAGTTTCCTTATCCTGCGAAGTCTAAGAACGTGCTTCTTGGGCTGAGGACGTAGCTTACTGATGTGGGGGGCTTGCCTAGCATGCATAAAGCCCTGCGCCTACAGTTTGACTCCTAGCACTGCCGAATTTAAGAATTAAAAGCATGCTTCTTAAAAACCACCAGCTTGGCGGAGGCAGTGACTGACTCCCATAACCTTAGCACTCTGGCAACAAGGCACAAGTCTGAACTCACCCTGGGCAACTCAGCGAGTCCTTGTCTCAAAATTAGAGGGAGCGAAGGCCTTGGGTTCAGTCCCAGTAGTATCAAGTAAAAAAAGACACCAGGCTCTTCAGGCGCAGGGCGGGAGCCTCTCTTGCGTCAGCACTCGGGAAGGCTGCGGCAGGAGGGTGAAAAATTAAAGAGCCCAGCCTAGACAGCTCAGTGACATAGGAGATCCTATCTCAGAATTAAAAATCAAAAACGCCTGGGCTCAATAATAATAATAGTAATTCCTGCCTTGCAGAAAACACCCCAGTATGCAGAAAGTGGCAGCAAGGCTGGGACTGAAGCCAGCCCAGTGCAGGTGCCAGGCCGGGCAGGGAGCTGGAGCCCAGATGGCCTCTAAGTGTAGATGCAGAGCGGGTGTGATGGCCCCCCAACACCCAGGGCCTCCCAGGGAGTTGCTGCCGGAGCAGCTCTCACCTTAGCCAGTTACCATCACTAAGAGGAATGGCATCCATATGCCAGGCCCTCGGGAAAATACCGTTACCGGGTATGAGTTAAGTTTAAGCATGGTCGCAAAATGACAAATGCTTCTGTCAGGGTGAGAAATCAGACAGTTGGGCCGCCGCTCTGTACCTCGGGCCTACCCCGACCAAACCAAACTGATTGGTTATCAGTTATGATAACTGCATGGTGGTGCATACCTGTAGTCCTAGCACTATAGTGGCTGAGGCAGAGAGGTCTTTGGGAGTTCGAGACCAGCCTAGGCTACAAAATGAGCCTGAACTGCATAACAAGAGCCTGTCTCAAAAGGACAAAAAAGAAACCTAACTTAACTAATACTTCAGTTGCTGAAAGGTCATTACTGAGCGCTGTGAGGCATAAAGATGATGGTGGAATTGGGCTTCATAAATAGGTTCGCTCCTTTAGCGGGAGAGACGCAGGGGTTTGGTAGGTTGGTGCAGACCTGGCCGTGGGCAGTGGACTCCTGCTCGCCTCTCAGCGCAGTGTCCTGGCCCGTCTCCCGGCAGGAGCCGACCAGGCCTCGATCACCGCCAGGAACCACGTGCAGCTGGTGAAGTCGCAGGTGCAGGAAGTGCGCCAGCTCTGCCAGAAGGCGGAGGCCAAGCTCGCCGAGGCGCAGACGCAGGAGCTGCGCCAGAGAGCGCAGGCGGGCGCGGACGAGCCGGCTGAGCAGGAGCAGGCGCAGGAGGCCTACCTGCGGGAGGACTGAGGCCGCCAAGGGAGCACGGAGAGCGCACGGCCTGGCCCCACAGCCCACATGGGAGCTGGGCACCTTCACACCCAAGCCTCTTTGCCTGCCGAGGGGCCTTCCAGGGGTGCCCCTGCCACCCACAATCAGCAGCTGTTCAGCCTTAGTTTTCAGCCTTCTCCAGACGCTGAGGTGCCACTCTGCAGACTCGGGGGTCCCCTGCGAGGCTGCAGTCAGCGGGCTGGGAGCCCTGTGGTCACACCCTGCGTGGGCAGGGGAGAACCGCATCCACCCAGGGCTTCCGCGGGCCTCGCTGACACCGTGTCGCCTGCCTGGCCCGCTGTCCCTGTCGTGACCGGGGTGTCTGTTGTATCCTGAAGAATTTTTTTTTTTGCATTTAAAATGAATGTATGTATGTCTTTGGAGGTCGTGCAGTGGAGGTCGTGCAGCCAGCGTCCACTGCTGCCCAGGCCGATGGCGCCCATTGGGCTGTGGGGTGGTGGCAGCTGCGGTGCGGGAGGGCGGGGTGAGGGCCGATGGAATTCTTTGGCCGGTCCGGGGCTGGGGCTTGCGGGCCCTGAACACTTGAGCCTCTGGTCTGTCCCCATCTGCAGGGGGCGGGGCGGTGCCCGGCAGGAGCCATGGAGCCAGCGTGGAGGAGAGTGCGGCCCCTCCCTGGGGTTCTGGATGCAATGCAGCTGCCACCCCCAGCGGTGGGAGGAAGCGGTGGGAGGGCGGGAGGAAGCTGTGACCCCGTGTCCTGTCTCCCGCCAAGTTGTCCTGGGTGGGTCACAGCTCTGGGAGCTCCAGCCCATTGGCAGGACCTGGGCCCAGTCACTCCCCACTGCCGCGGGCGCAAGCTCCCTGAGGGTCAGGGTGTCCTCGGCTTCCCAGCCCGAGGAGCAAGAAGGGTGAGGAAGCCCTGCGGGGCGGAGAGGCAGGGACGAAGAGGCGTGGGCCACTGCATTGGGTGGCCCTGGTCTCAGGGGAGCCCAGAAGGACAGTGGGGTGCTGGAGGCCCCACGGGGAGAGCACGTGGGCCGGCATCTGGGGTGGTCCACGGTGCCCCTGACATTCGCACCCTCTGAATCCTGCAGAGCCGGCACAGCACGGCCAGCCTGGGAAACCCCGCACCTCCACCACCTGCTCTGGGCTTCCCGGTGAGGAATAGGGCTTGGGGCCTAGTGTCACCCAGGGGATAGTTGACACCGGGGACTTAAGGTGCGAGGCCATTGGGCTGCGAGGTGAGCGAGCGTTCCCTCCTGACGCTGCAGTTGCCCGAGAAGGGCTTGGAAACGGTGTCCACCCGGTGCGGGCCACCGCGCCCTCGGTGTCCCACCCTGCTTCGACTGAGAGGAGCCCGGGGTGGGAGCGGCCCTGTCCAAGGTGCGCAGGGCGAGGCATGGCTTTCCGGGTGCAGGTCGGGCCTGCCAAGGGGGCGCATGGATGGAGCCGGCAGGATGCAGAGCCAGGGGCGGAGCTCACCCCTGGGGTGACAGGGACCCGTTGGTGTCCTTTTCCAAGGCCACGCACTCTTTAAAGAGCTGGGGAGGGCGCAGGGGACTTGGTCGCCAGGTCCGGGAAGCCGCGCATGCAGCGCAGGGTGCAAGGCCCGCGGTGCTCCCGGGGAGGGTGACAGCCCCAGTGGTCCGCGCCCTGGTGACCCCACCCTCGGACCTGCCCGAGCTTGTCCCCCCAGCTGCGCGGTTCCCTGTCCCCTTCCCCCGAGCCCCGGTGGTGCCACATCCGGTCCCGTCCGGTCCCGTCCGGTCCCCGACATGCGGACTCGGGCTTGGCTCCTCGCACCACTTTACTGAGCCCGGTTGGCGACCGCGCGCAGCGCCTCCTCCACCGAGCGGACCTGGCCCAGCTGGATCTCCACCTCCACGGTCAGCGGCGCCGGCTGGTAGTCGCTCTCGAAGGCCGGAGCTGCTGCCTTCCCAGGCCCTTCTGGGGGATAAAGGGCCGCGGATGAGGCCGCAGCGCCGCGAGGCAGGGAACCCAGGGCGCGCCAGCGCCGAGTGAGGTCGGCGGGGCTCTGGGGAGGGCAGCCGCCGCCTGGTCCCCAAAGACCACCTTTCCTTAGAGGAACGGACAGCCAGGATCCAGGCGGGTACCAAATCCTCGGTAAATAACGAAGTAATTTGGGCACCTCAGGGAAAACCTGACAGTGACAGTGACCGTGTTTTGTTAGATGTGTAACATTTGAACTGCTAGAAATGAGAATTTTGGAAACATTCCATCAGCCATCAGCACTGAAGTTTTCAATGTGCAGACTTTTCTAGTGGTTTGGGTAGTGCTGTCAAAGATCTGTCTAAATCGGTTAACTCGTATTTCACAGTGCACAGGATACTCTACTGATGTGACACATCACACGTGGTAAGTATCCAGTCAGAATGTGCGGCAGACCAGAGCGCTTTAATGACAAGCGGGTCATGAAAAAACCAATACAGATTCACACTACGAGAAGCCAGTGCTTACTGCACCTGCGCTGATACCCAGGAAGATTATCCACAGGCCACACTTGGAAAACAGGACCTTCACAGTAGACTTCACCCCCAAACCTTTTTAAATTCTGAGACAAGCTCTTAGCTAAATTGCCCTGGCTGGTCTGTTTCAGTCCTCCTGCCTCAGGCTCCAGCGTGGTGAGAGCACAGGCGGGCGCCACCCACCCGGCAGCATAGTCACCATTCCTCAGAACCCTACTAAGATGTTCCTTGCATTTGCAATTATGAGAGGATGAGGTAAAGTGGGGTTTTCTCCATATACTATTCACCATGGAAGGCTGGCCTTGAACGGGAGGTGACCCTCCTGCCTCGGCCTCCAGGCACACACCACCATGCCTACCTTTGTCTTATACTTCTGCAGGAGCTGCCAGCTGTTCTCTCCACCCAAGCCAGACAGTTCTTTTTCAAACTCAAATCTACAACTTAACCTAGTTTACAACCTTCCAGCAGGCACCGTAAGAATAAATCAAATGGAAGAGGCCTGGTGGGGGAAGGACCCCACCTTGTCCTGGCACCTACCCAGAATGCCTTGCTGCTGTTCTGGGGCTGTGGGGGGTCTATGGGGTTCAGTCCTCAGGGCGGACAGGGCCTCCTCTGGTGGGCAGGTGTCAGCTCCTTCCCCCCAGCCCCATGGCCACAGCTCAGGTCGCCCCACACCCACCCACCTGCCACCGGGGCTCTTACCTTTCTTGACTCCTTTCTTAACTTTCTTTGAGTCCTGCGAGAGAGAGAAGCACAAACAAGATGCTGAGGGGAGGCTGGGCAGGCCAGGCCCAGGCACTGTTTAGGGGTCCCCTGGCAAGCAGCTGCCCAACATGGCCATCCCAGGTGGTGGCTGCGTCCCCTCCTCTCTGGCTGCCAGCCCAGGGCCAGGCCCTGCCCCGCCCGCCCAGCTCCCTGTGGGGAGGACGAGGTAGAGGGGAAGGGATGTGGCCGGGGCCTGTGGTACCCTGGCGAATGTCAGCCTGTCCGATTCCGGGGTGCGGACCACACCAAAGTTGCACACAGTGGATACCACAGACTCCCCAGCCAGCAGGGGCTCCAGGGCCACCAGGCCGCTGCCCAGCACCTGCAGCACGGGCGGGTCATGGCGCAGCTCCTTGGGGATGTCTCTCTTCTTCTGCGATGCCTTCCATTCCTGTGGGGCGCCGGGAGGGAGGGCAGGAGACCGTGCCAACGCCTGTCACCCTCTCCTGAGGCCTGGCCCCAGCCCACGCCATCTGACCCTGGTGGGTTCCTCTGCTCTTTTCCCCTTTTGGTCCTTCCTGTCCTTGTCCTTCTTGTCCTTGTCCTTCTTTTTGTCATTCACCCCTTTTCCTTTCTTGGCTGCCAGGGGACTGTCAGTAGGAGGGGTCACCACAGGCCAGGAGAGGATCTGGGGACAGGCGGTAACCCTGCGTAAGCAGATGTGACAGGCTGGCCGGGGTTCTCAGGCATCACATCACCTCCTGCACGCACCTTCTCCTCCACGATGGTCACCACGGTCCCCGCCAGCAGGAAGGCCTTGAAGGGTCTCAGGTCCTTGACGCTGTGCTGCGCCTCGTAACCGCAGGCAATGACATTGGCCCAGGGCTTGTGCTCTGTGCTGAAGAGCACCGTCCTGGGGGGTGACAGACATGCCACTGTCACCTAGGGCTGGGGCCCTGGGGCGAACAAGGCGTGACAAACAGCGCAAGACTGGGTGCCCTGATACCACCACAGAAGGCGGTGCAACAGGTGGGAAGGGGCTTCCTAGGAGCAGGGCTGCCTGGGACTGGCGAGGGTTGAAGTTCCCACAGCTGCAGCGAAAAGGCAGGGACATTGAAGACTCCCCACGTGGGGCCACGCTCTGTCCTTTAAATGTCACCGGGGTGGGGCCTCACGAGGGGAGAACAAGAACTGGACACGTGTGAGAGGTGACAGGGACTCGGCGGACACCATGTGCCACATCCACAGCAGCCCAAGGTGGACGTGGCCTGTGTGTCCAGTGCCAGAGGGACAAATGGATAAAGAACCACTGTGCTCAGCGAGATCATCCTGGAGCAAAGGGACAAGGACGGGATCCACGAAAGAGCCCCTGCAGCAGCCACGTCAGAGAGGAGGAACCAGGACGTGGGGCTGGGCCCGGACGGCAGAGGACAGGGCTGTGAGGGGTTTCGTTGCTCTGCCTTTGCAGTTCTGGGGTTTGAACCCTGGGCCACTGTACTTTACCACCCTCCCTTATTTTGGGACGGGGTCCCCCTAAGTCACTAAGAGGCCCAGGCTTTGAACTTCTGGTCCTCCCACCCGAGCCTCCCGGTGCTGGCCCTGCTGGGTCCCACTCCACTCAGGGCCCAGGGAAGGAGAGAGAACTCGAACCCAAGCCCATGGCCTGCGGCAGGCTAAGGAGTCACTCCAGGGGCCCCAGGGTGGTTCAGCGTCAGGACTGCAGGGGCAGCGGTGCGGCCTGGGCTTGTGGAGACCCTGTGGACTGCAGGACAGTTTCAGCCGCCAACTCCTACCCTGGTGCGGGGCATAGCCGGGGATCCACGTGCGGCCGCAGCTTCACCAGCTCCTCAGCCGACTCAATAGAAGATGGCCTGGGGGCGGAGCGGCCCGAGACCAGCGAGGACTCGGACTCCACCTGCTCCATGGTCTCCACCGACTCCAGGGACTCCTCGGCCATGGCCATGTCCTCCTCAGTGCCCTCCTCAGGGACTTCCTCCCTGAGCGGCTCAGTGCTGGACCGGGGCTTCACAATCTGCCAGAGACGCAAAAGCAGTCCATCACCACCATCCTCTGGAGGGGTCCACACCAACCCACGCCCCAGAGTCTCAGGGTGTTCTTGTGGGTGCAAGGGATGGGACCCAAGGCCTGGTACAGGTTGGGCATGCACGGGACCATGGAGCCACACCCCAGCCCTGCTTCTATATCTTTATTTTTTCTCTTTTTGAGGCAGGGTCTCACTAGGTAGTTCAGGCTGCCTGTAGGCTCAGTTTGTAGCCCAAGTTGGTCTCAAACTCGCAAAGATCCTCCTGCCTCAGCCTCCTGAGTGCTGGGATTACAGGCATGAGCCACCACGCCTGGCTATATATATATTTTTTTAATTTAGGGTTTTTTTTTTTTTTTTTTTTTTTTGAGACAAGATCTTACTTTACAGTTCGGCCTGGCCTTGGACCGTGTAGCCTAGGCTATTCTTGAACTCCCAGTGATCCTTCTGCCTCAGCCTCCTGCAGTGCCTGTGCTACCACACACTTTAAAGATGGTCCTGGGGATTGGCTATGGTAGAGCACACCTATAATCCCAGCACTTGGGAGGCTGAGACAAGAGGATCCAACTTCAAGCCCCATCTGGGCAATTTAATAACTTGGCAACACCCCGTTTCAAAATTAAAAATTTTAAAAGGACTGGGGATGTGGCTCGGCTTGGTTCAGTCCCCGGCACTGCAGGGCACACAGGTGCTGGGCCCCAAGGGGCTGCTCTGCCCAGGCCCGGGCTCTGAGACGCGCACCTCGGCCAGGACCTCGCCGTACTTGCTGGCCTCGCCGGCCTCCGCCTCGGCCTCCTCCTCTTCGAGGAAGTCGTAGGTGACGTAGTAGCTGTAGGTGACAAAGGGGCCCTCGGGCCCCGGTTCAGGGTCCAAGACAGAGGAGTCCACGACCCCCGTGATGTTCCGGACGGCCACCAGTAGCTGCGCCTCCTGCGCCAGGAGCTCTACGGAGCGAGGCCGGGGAGAGCTGGCGGGAGCTGCGGGCGGACGCTCCCTTCCCGCCTGCGCCAGCCCGGGAGCAGCCCCCGGCCGCACCCCGGTGACCGAGAGGCTCGGCTGCGCTTAGGCCGTGGGCCACAAGGGGGAGCCCTCAAGCCACGGCGGGAGCGCCCCCTCCCTGCACCGGCCCCAAGCCCCCACACCCACCGCCTTGCTGGCCCAGCCCGCGGCACTGGTGCCTCTCATGTGCGGACACGGTGACGTCGTCCAGCACGCACAGCCGCGCCAGGCTGTCCACCGTGAAGCCGCGGTAGTGCGGCAGCAGCGCCAGCGGGTTCCCCTGCAGCACCAGCAGCCGCAGGCGGCCGAGCGAGCGTAGCGCCGCCACCATGGCCGGCAGGTCCATCAGGTCGTTGAAGCCCAGGTCCAGCGAGATGAGGTTGGGCCTGGAAGGGCGGCGGGGCGGAGACGCTGCCCACCTGCCTGCGGCGACCTCTCCCGTGTCCCCCAACAGCCTCCCATCCGCCGCCTCTCCTTCCTCCCCTCCGCCAGACCAGAGAACTGGGAAGCCGGCCTGGTGGTGCTCACTTGCGATCCTACGCTCGGGAGGCTGAGGGAGGAGGAGTACAAATTCTAGGAGTTCAATTTAGTGGGACTTCCTCTCGAAATTTAAAAGGGCTGGAGATGCAGCTCCGTGCAAAGGCCCCGGATTTAACCCCAGGGCTGCAAAGGGGGAGGCACACTGGAACAGCAGAATCAGTGCCCAAAAAATAGGTCCTCTAATTCCAGAACAGCCAGAGTTGGAGGCTTCACATACACAGTTCTACGAAATCCACACTAAGTACCAGGCTGCGGTTCGTACTGCAAATCAAAATCGGTGATACAGCCAGCTGGGTGGTCACGCCTGTGATCTTAGTGTTCTGGGTCGACGGGGGGAGGGGGGCGAGAGGGGACCAAGTTCAAGCCCAGCTTGAGCAACTTGCAAGTTAGCCAGGCCCTGTGTCACATCTTTCTAAACCCCAAAACAGAAGCAACCCCCAACCTGAGTGCTCGGCCCTCTCAACAGCAGCAGTGCCAGGAAGTCCACAGCGCTGGGTCCCTGCCTGCGCCACGGCCACAACGGCCACAGCAATGGAAGACAGGAAGTCCAGGTCCACAACGCGGCCATGAAGGGGGCTGGGAGAGGGTGCGGAAACCCCGGGTGCTCTGGGAGCCTCGGGCCAGCTCCCTTCTACAGCCCTTTGTGGGTTCTCTTGGCCACCCCCTTAGGCCCAGAGTTCCAGATTTTCCAGCATGGAGACAGAGTCACAGGGCGACAGCCAGGGTTCTATTCTGCATGACCTCTCACAGTCACACCCTCTGAGACATGGCAGGGGTGACATGGTCCCTTGGGCATTGTCCCGAGACATTATTTTGGGGAAAAGGTACTCACTATCTAGTTCAAGCCAGCCTCGAACTCACAGCAGTCCTCCTGCCTCAGCCTCCCAAGTGCTGTGATCACCGGTGTGTGCCACCACGCCTGACTCAGCGGGGGTCTGGGGACTACAGGAGAGCCCGTGCCCCGCCCTGCCCTCCTTACCAGTGACTGGTCGTGAGGTAGAGGCTCTCGGAGGCCCCGCACAGCTGGTTCTGGCCCAGCCCCAGGTGGTGCAGGCCAGGTGGCGGGTGTGCGCACAGACACTCCATGCTGGCCAGCTCGTTGCCGTACAGCTCCAGCACCTGTGGCGGCAGCGGCCCCAGGTTGACCGCTCCACCTCCCGCCCGAGCTCCTGCTCCCCCCAGAAAACTCTGGAGAGGACCCGGAATCGTCCTGGCCTGCTCTCCTGCACCTGTGCTGTCTGTCTCTTTCTTTGAGATACTCAGGTGGAACCCAGCCTTCACACTGAGCCACATCCCCACCCTTTTATTTTCTGAAACACTAAGTTGCTGGATCACCCAAGCTGGCTCAAGTTTTCAATCCTCCTGCCTCAGCCTCCCAGGGTGCTAGGGCAACAGATGTGTGCCACCACACCCGGCCTGGACTCCCTTTTCAAACATGGAAGAGAGTGAAGGTGATGTGGGAAGGGAGGTGACAGGGCCAAGGCAGCAGAGCCCACCTGAGTCCCAGCACCCACTCTGAGTTGAACCCCTGGCCAGGGCCACTGCAGCTCTGCTAAAGGTCACGGAGGCCTGGCCTGGGTTCTTAGCCTCCTGTGTGGTGAAAGATAAAGCTGCCACTTTGGCCACTGCATGGTACACTGTTCAGTGGCATTCCTTACACGCTCAGGGTGGAGCCACCGCCCTCACTGTCCATTTCCAAACTTTCCCACAGGCTCAGGAAGAAACTCTGTGATTCCCAAGCAGTAACCGCCCCTCCCCAGGACCTTCCACTGAGGGACAATCACACGAGATTGTTCCATTATGTCTGGCCCCTCTCACTGTGGTGAGGGCCTCTCAGTCCACCCATGTTGTAGCAACTATCAGAGCACTTTCCTTTTGTGGGTGAGTAGTATTCCACTCACTGGATGGAATTCATTGGGCTAAAGACATATGGGTCCCTTGCACCTTTGTGCTGCTGTGAACCCTGGGCAAGGACTGGCCTTGTCCTGGCCTTTGGGAGCCCTGACACCCCCTGGAAATTCTGCTGTGTGAGGAACACGACCTGTATTTTTAAAGCCCTGTGTTGGGGCTCGGCACCCAGCTACCCTGGCCAGCTGCATGGGGCCGGTTAAGGTCAGGGCTTGTGGGGTGCTGTACCTTGAGTGTGGGGGGCAAGTTGGTGGCATCCACTTCCTTGATCCGGTTGGCGCTCAGGACCAGCTCCTCCAGCTTCACGAACTTCAGGAGGCCTCGGTCCACCTGGGTCACCTGGGGGGCAGAGCCCAGGGGTGGGACATCCATGGGGCTGCCCACCCCTGGGGGCTGTTCCCCCACTGCAGTGCACCGCCCCCCACACGCTAGGGGTCCTGTGATCATCAGACCAGCTTCTGTGTCCTTTGTTAGACCTCGACCTTCTCAGGAGGGCAGGAGCCCCATTTTCCATGCTGTCTACACCCTAGCTCAGGTGTTTTGTTTTGTTTTGATGAAACAGGGCCTTGCTGTGTACCCTAGGCTGGCCTGGCACTCGTGGTGATCCTCCTGCCTCAGCCTCTGGAGTGGCTCGGTTCAGGTCTGTCAGAATCACTCTGGCTTATACAGAGCAGGCCCAGGAGCTTACACGCCAGCCCCGAATCCCCAGGTTCCTGTGCCACACACAAGGCGACGTGGCTGGGTCCCTCTGGGCTACGTCGACCAGAGCTTTGTCCCGGGCTTCCCTAAGCTTTCAGCGTGCATGCTGGGAAAGTCCCTGGCAAATGGTCAAGGAAAAGGACAGAGGCTCTGGATGACCGAGACCAAGGTTCCATTTGACTCGCGGTCTCCACTACCAATGAGGCAGAGACGGCCTTTTAGGGGCAGAAATGAGTGGGGTAAGTGTGGTCATGGCCCCTCCCCAACCTGCCCCACAGTTTGTATCAAGTTAAAGCAAATTTTAATCTTTCAAAAGGCCTTTCCTTTCCTTTTCTTTTGTGGTACTGGAGGCTGAACCCAGAGCCTTCAGAGTAAGCCATATCCCTAGCGTGCTTGTATTTTTTACTTTTCAGACAGGGTCTTGCTAAGTCACTCAGGCTAAGATTAAACTTGAGATCCCCCTGCCTCAGCCTCCCAGAGTGCTGGGATTGCAGGTGGGTGTCAACACATCCAGCTTCCGGGCTCCCTTGAGGAAGGGCACAAGGAGAGGAGATATGGACAGGCTGCAGCTGCGGAGGCCTGGCTTGCTGGATGCACTAGGGAACTTGGACAGGGAGAGGCAAGGCTGGCCCCCTACTGGGGGCGCCCAAGTTCTGCCCACCCCTGCCTCACCTGCTTGTCCACCACCCTCAAGGACCGGAAGTAGGAGTAGAAGAAGGTGTCTCTGATCATCATCGGGCTCTGGATGGCTAGCTCCCGGAGGAACCGGTCCTCCGCACTGGAGTCCTCAGACAGAGCCCAGGGCGACTGGGGGCTGCGCACCAGACCCAGTAGGGCCTCCACCGGCTCCTCCTCGGGGCCCAGGGCCTCCTCCTCCCCAGGCACCAGCTCCTTCCAGGCTCGAAACTTCGGAGGAAGAAAGCGGGATCTGTTCTGCAGGCCGAACGGGAGTGAGGGGCCTCACTCAGGCCTCTTACGGACTCTGGCCTCTCAGTCCAGGGCCTAGGTTGGGCAGCCGGGGACTGACAGGGACAGATGAGGCTGCAGCAGCCATGGCTACAGGGAAGGGAGGGAAGGGAAAGGGGAGATAACTCAAGGGCTGGTCGGCCCTCAAGGCTTCACTCTACAGCTGGGAACCATATTAAACACAAAAGTCATGACTTCCAGCCAAGAGGCTCCCAGAGCAAATGTGGGGACACCATTCATGACAGAAGTTCCCTAAAGAGAGTGGCCAGATCGAGCATGGTGGTGCACTCCTGTAATCCCAGCACTTGGAAGCCTGAGGCAGGTGGATCCTTGCAAGTTTGAGACCAGCCTGGGCTACAAAGTGAGCTCATGGTGAGCCTGAACTGCATAGAGAGATCCTGTCTCAAAAAGACAGGACAAAAAAGAAAACGAGTGGCCAGGCTGCAAGGTGCCCTCAGCTCGGAGGTGGGACAGTGTGGAAGAGGAGTCATTCCCAGAAAATTCAGGACTCAGCCCCTGAATTTACTCCCCTGCCCCTGCCTCTAGGGACTGCTCCGACACAACTTTCCAGATTCTGTGCGGTTTGTATTGGGGTGCCGGGATTGAACTCAGGGCCTCACGCAAGTGCTGGTTTCTGAGCTGCACCCCCAGTCCAAGGGACCGCTGTGAAAGCCTGCGCCCAGGGCGGCACCTGCACACAGGCACCTGCACACAGCTGCACACACTGCGCCTTGGTGCGCTCTCAGGAAAGTTTTTCTGTGCCCGAGCTGGGGCGCAGAGGAGGTGGCATCTTCTGGCCTGGGCCATCAGACCCCGGCACTCACGGAGCAGCCCTGGGTTAGACTTCTTGCTCCTTGTCCCCACCTGGACACCTCACTGACTACATGGCCCCTCTGGCAGCCCTGCACGAGGCCTGTCTGCAGGAGGAGTGCGCAGACAGGAACTGGCCATCCTGGGCAGCGACACCAGGATTTCCTTCTGGGAGCGGTGGCCACTACGCCCCGTGCTGTTGTGCCCTCTGGCTCCTTTCCCGGGCCACATCCACCACCCTTCGGGCACAGCACCACGGGTTAGGGTTTTAGGGGGTTTAGGAAGGCCTGGTGCTCAGAGCCCAGGAGGGGGTGGGGGAGCAGAAACCCCTTTCGTGCTGGGCCTCGGCCGTGAGTCCTTTGGCTCAGGCCGTGAAACTGGCCAGACCAAGTCTGTCACCCCAAAGATGCCCGGAAACCAGATGCAGGGCGTTCCCACGCTTGCAAGAAGCCCTGGCCTGGGTCTGCCAGCAGTGAAGCTCCGCAGCCGGCCCACCACCCTCACCAAACGGCCCGCAATGCCCAGTTCCGAGCCTCCAGCTGGGGTCCGGGGGTCCCCCACGGCCATCCCCCGCCCAGTCCGTCGCAGACCCCAAGGCCGCCCAGTTCCCGGCCGCACCGCGGCTGCTCTGCCCCGGCGGCGCCCTCCCTCCCGGCCGCCTGGTCCCCGCGCCGCACCCAGCTGCCGGTGCCGCACGGGAACTCGCGCAGACACAGCTGGCGCAGGTGCGCGCTCACGGCCGCGCTCACGGTGCTGGGCGCGCTCCAGCTCCCGCTCCCGCTCTCTCTCCCTGCCGTGGCCGCCATGCCCGGACCCCGCGCTGCTAGGCAACCGCGGACGCGTGCGCGCCAGACGCCCTCACAGCGCCCGGAACCCTGGCGCGCTCTCTTCCTACCGGTTCTGGGAAAGCGGGGTCATGGGTCAGACACGGGGCCCCCACGGTGCCACCTGCTGCAGCGCCCAGCGCGACTTAACCGCTGGATCCGTCTTCTTCCCCCCTTCCTCCCCCTCCCCCAGACAAAATCCCCTACCAGAGATCTTACCCTTTCCAAGTGTACAAGGAGGACGCTTTCGGTATATTCACCATAAGCGTCACTGCAACGTTTTCAACCGGCCAGGCACTCTGCCTGCATAAGCATTCAGACCACATTCTCCCAGCTCCTCGGCCGCTGGCGGTCACATGTATGCTGCCTACAGGTCACACCATTCTCATAGTTTGTGTGTGTGGAATCACACTTTTTTTGTGTGTCTGCCTTCTTTCACGTAGCATGTTTCTGAGGTTCATCTACGCTGCAGCATGCGTCTGCGTTTCGTTCATTTTCCAGGCTGTGTAATATTCTATCCGACGACACATGATTTACCCATTCATGCAGAGGGACATTTAGATCGCTTCCATTTTTTGGCTATCATGGTTGCGCTGGTATGAAGACTGGTGTACAAGTTTCTACATGAATGTTTGTCTTCATTTATTTTGAGTAGACAGAGGAATAGAAGTGCTGGGTCACTTGGTAACTGTACTTTTTAATACCTTGAGGAACTGCCCGTTTCCCACACTCGCACACCGTTTTACATTTTCCACCAGTAACACACAGGGTTCCAATCTTCCCAGACTTCCAGGGTTTGTGTCAGGATGGCGACCGCAGCAGGTGTGAAGTGGTGTGTTTTCATTTGCGCTGCCCCGATTCCTGACTAATGATATCAGACATCTTTTCACGTAGCTCATTGGAGAAAAGTCTACTCACATCCTATGCCCATTTCTTAAGCAGCTCTTTCTTTACAGTTGATTTGTAAGAATTCTTTATACCTTCTGGATAGTAGCCCCTTATCTTAAAGACAATTTGTAAATATTTTCTCCCACTTAATCAGCTTTAGGGACTATTTGTTTTCCAGACAGAGTCTTGCTACTTAGCCTGGCTGCTCTGGAAGTCAAGGGGATCCTCCTGCCTCAGCCTCCCTAGTACTGGGATTACAGGTGTGCCCCATCATACCTGGCTTTCCCTTTTTGTTAATTTTGTTTTGTTTTTAACATATAAAAGGTCTTCTCTTTTTTCAGTACTGGGGATTTAAGCCAGGGTCACCTGTGTACTCTGCCACTCAGCTCTAACCCCAATTCTCATACAAGAGTTTTTAAGTTTGACAAAGTATAATTTATCCACGTTCTTCTTCTGGTTGCTTGTACGTTTGCTGTCATTTCCAAGAAACCGTTGCCTGTTCCACTGAGTCTGAGTCTTCATCATATACTCTGCTCACAGGTCATCCGTGAGACTTGGGGTTTGCTAACCCTCCTCTCCCACCGTCGGTTTATCATTTCATCCTCTTGTCAGTATCTTTAGAAGAGCCAAGATTTTTAGTGTTGAGCAATTTCAACTAATCATGCCCCAAACACACCCCTGTGGTCAATATCCTGTGTTCTCTTTGACTGACCTATATTGGAATATCTTTACTATTGTTAGAAAAATTAGAAGCCAAAAATGTTATGGTTCACCCTGCAATCCCAGCACTCAGGAGACTGAGGCAGAAAGTGCTGAGAGTTCAAGCTCAGACTGGACTAGACAGTGAGCCCCTGTCTCAAAAATAAAAAAAAAAAAGAATTATCCCAAACTGAGAAACGAGGCAAAAAGATGATCATATGTCCTTTGAATAATAATAATAAAAAAAAACAAAGGACAGACACCCAGGGGTCCCTACTGATCTAAGCCAAAACAAGAAGCCCCAGCTGGTCCCTGGGCTTTTGTGCTGTTTTCTGAGACACAGTCTTGCTACCCAGTCCCGGCTGGCCTCACTATGGTGCGCAGGCATCTAACTTGTGGTGATCCTCCTGGTTCAGCCTCCCCAGTGCTGGGGTTACACTTGTGCATGTGCCACCACACCCGGCTTGGCCCCTGGGGTCAATGATGTGCTGTGGGCAGTCAGAAGTTGTGACAGAGAGCCAGGCCTGATGGTCTGCTCCTATAACCCCAGCTATTGAGGGGGCTGAGGCAGAAAGATTTAAAGTTTGAGGCCATTCTGGGCAATTTAGGGAGAGCCTATCTCAAAGGAAAAAACGTGACAGGGCTGGGGTTGTAGCTGTGTGGCTGGGTGCTCCCATGGTGGGTGCAAGGGTCTACATTCAAAAGAACAAAAAGAGCACTGGGCCTGGTGGCATACTCCTGTAATCCCAGCATTTAAGAAGCTGAGGCAGGAGGATCTCTGACTTTTGAGGCCAGCCTGGGCAACTAGAGAGACTTTTTTCAAAGTCATGGTTCTGAAGGCCAGCTACAAACAAAAATAAAGCTAGAATGAAGCTACAGGCTTTCCCAAGTCTTCCCTAGATTACAGCAGGTCGGGGTGAGCTACAGACTTGGAGAGTCTGGAAAGCAGGCACCGAACCCCACCTCTCCCTTCAGCCCCGCCATCTCTTCTCTCCTTTCTCATGGAGAGCTCCTAGCCCAGGACTGGGGACTGAAACTGGGAAGCGCTGACCCACACTCCCCAGACCTTTTGAGTTTACAAAAAAAGTTTTTGAAGTTTTTAGAATTTGAAGTTGCCAGGCCGGCCTGGCACCTGGCTTGTGATCTTCCTGCCTCAGCCTCTCTAGGAGCCACGGGCTCTGGCCTCACTTTTTCCTCCCAGCCCAAACTGCCCCAGTTACGGCTTCCACTCTAACAGTTCAAAGTCCCCTGGCAAAGTTCCTGTGACCTCATGTTTGCAACCCCACAGTGTCTTCAGCCTTATCTTCTTTGACCTCTTCATGGCTCACAAAATGCCACCCGCTTCCTCTGACTTGAAAAACCACTTCTCGTCCTGTTCCATGACAGCCGCTTTTCAGGGTTGCTCTTTGCCTCCGGGCCACGGGCTCCGCCACCTTCCTCTCCCCCATCCCTTTTAGGGAACTGGACCCTGCATCTCAGAGCAATCCTGCTTTCAGGCCAACAGTCCTATCAGTCGTGATGCCTTCCTGGCACTCACTTTATGTCTCCAGCCGCTCCCCTCAGGACACAAAGGCCCAGTGCCCAGGGCAGTCCCAGTGCCCCCCTCCCCTGCCTCCTGCACCTCGACAGAGATGGAACCTCCTCTGCCGAGTCTCAAGCACTCCTGTCCCTCCCGTCACCCACACCAAGGCCCAGAAGCCATCTCCATCCCCTTCCTCCGCACCCATACAACCGTCATACCCTTGATTTTTGCCTCTCTTCAGTCCCTGGCTCTGCTAGGCCAGCTCAGGTCCCTCCTTTGGTCACAGAGTCTGAGGAATGAGGGGGACATGGGGACAGATGCTCAGCTGAAAACACTGTTACCCAGTGGGAAGACAGAGAAGTTTCAAAGAAGACAGGAGAGCCTGGAGGTGCACACCTGTAATCCTGGCACTCAGGAGGCTGAGGCAGGAGGACTGCCATGCACTGGAGGCCAGTCGAGGCTCTACAGTGGGTTCAAGGACAGCCTGAACTGCATAGCGAGAGATCCCATCTCTAAAAATAAAGATGGGTGAGCATCACGCCCCTGGCGCTTGTACCTGTTGGCTGAGTCTGTTACAGACACCACCACCCTAGCGGTTTCCAACTACAGATTTATTTTGCAGGGTTGAAGTCCGCTGTGCTGCTCGGGGTCTCCTGAGGGGGCTCAGGGTCCACTTCCAAGCTCACCAATCACCACTTAACCCTGTGTCCTCTCCACACGTCCCGCGTGGCCCCTCCATCTCAAGTGGCAATGGCAGCCTGGTTGGTCCCACGCTTGGACTCGCTCCAACCCTCTTCTGCTCTCCTCTTCTTTTCTGTTGGTTTTGTTTTTGTTTTGCAGTGCTAGGGATGGAATGAGGGCCTTGCACAAATCACACAAGTGCTTATCTCAGATCTCCTGGATTTACATGATCACACGGGGCCACCGTGTGATCCACAAGAATCTTATTTGTTTTTGTGCTTTGAGACAGAGTCTCACTCTGTAGTGCAGGGTGGCCATGAACTCATATGGATCCTCCTGCCTCAGCCTCCCGAGCGCTAGGACTCCAGGCATGTGCCACACACCTGGTGGATGGTCCATTTTCTCTCTAAATATGGGACGCTTCCCAGATGTGTGTGTCACCCTTGCTCAGGGGCCATGCTACCCTCCTCTATTCTGCAGTGCGGCTGCTGCTGAAGCGGGCACCGCGTCACGTTTTACAGTGAGCTGACAGGAGCTGTGGCCACCTTCTCCCACGTGCTGTAACACAACAGCCAGCCAAAAGCTGCACAGACGGTTGGGGGGCAAGGCCTGGGCCACCTGCCAAGGAGGACAGAGGAAAAGCAGCAGCAGAGGCTGGAGGAGCGGCAGGGAAGGGAGTGTACCTGGGGTCCCGGCGTGGCTACACTCGATGTCGTCCTGAGCTCTGGGCTCTGGGCAGCGCCTGGTGCACAGGGAACCCACACCGAGCAGCGTCTCCAGCTGAACTCCCTGCGAGCAGCACCTCCGTCCCTGGCTGCTCCCCACAGGCCCCGGAGCCACCCCGGTCTGCTCTGTTTCCCCCGTGCGGCCCAGCCGCATGCTCTGCCCTCTGCCCCGTCTCCTCGTCAGTGCCCAGGTCATCAGGACTCCCTGCTCCTCTCCAGCCAGGCCATCTTCCCTGGCCTCCTAAAGCTTGCCCTACCCTGGTCCCTATCTAGAGCCACCATGGAGTCCCACAGACTTTGCCTGCATTGTCCCCTTGGCACGGGCCACCCTCCTCTCGGGGCTTGGTATGCACTGCCGTGCCCTTAGGCGCTATTCTGGCCCCTGACTTCAAAGCCGTCACCCTCACTCCAGCCCTAACTCCTGCTGTGCGCCCCGTAACTGCCATCCCATCCCCTACCACGCCAAGTTTGGGGGGCTTGGTCTAGCTGGCTTGCTGCTGTTCCT